GCTCCTGCCTACCACCCGGTTTAAAATCTAGCTTTGAGCTATTTTATTACTGTCACTATAATTAAATAATTTATCAAAACCAAACAATGATGAATACATAAAAGTACACATAAATAGACACAACAATAATAGATACAGTTCACCTGCTGTATGAGAACTACCTGTGAGTGCCAGCGGCCACGCCCGTCTCTGATTGGTCGTCTCCGGGCCCGCAGCTCCTCCTCCCCATTACCGTGGTAGCTGTGTGGTGAGCGAGCACGGCGTTCCAGACCGAGGTCCGAGGGTGAGGTAAGCATCCTGCCTCCCCCACCATCATAATACGACCCTGAGGGGCTCCGCCTCCTGTCAATCACACAGAGCAGACCAATAAAGAGGAGTAGGAGGAGCCTGTCCGTCATAAAGAAATATGAGCTAAAACAGAGTGTTTCAGACAGAAGGCGTCAACAGGTGCAGCAGCAATGTACAGTATAAGAAAAATAAAATGTTTTTGACCATAAAGGCAGTTAAACATATTCTAGGAGACTCTAAAGATAACATTATAAAACCTGTAAAATAACAGAATATAGACTCTTTAAATAGTGGAGCAGGTCAATGAAGTAGGACGGGGCCTGGTGATGGATGACTTCAAGAATTTCTCATTTTCAATGCAAGCTGCATTATTAAAGGAGTAGTTCATAGTTTAAGTATGTTCACATCTGTCGAGACTAAATCTGCATTTATCTCCCAAACAGCAGAAACAAGCCACCTATGGACACCCCTCCGTTTTCACAACTTTGAAGTAGCCAAACTAAATGGTGACTGCTAGATCTAACTTTTTAACATTCACTTTCATTGGAGAGGGCTCCAAACTAACTGATACCGGAGGTATAAATATCCCTTAATATTTCAAAGATGTGCAGTTGCCCTCCCTACCCCAATAAAAACCACAAAGAAGCAAAATGATTTTATTCTGAAAAATCCCTATCACATTACTAATAGACACAACAATACATCAAACCGGAGTGGGTCTGTTTTCTTCACCAGTGAGCCATTTTTAACTCTCAAAATATAAATTATGAAGTCAAACAACAACTGAATCTGTAGAAGAAATTAGATACACATATATTCCGCTATATTGTGAATTGTCAGTTGGTAACTCAATTTTGTAATCTTTTACATAAATACAAACAGTTCCACTACAAATTAAGATATAGGCAGACATGATTGCAGAAACATCAGTTGACATCCTTCTGTTTTCAGAAGTCATATAAATACACACGGACAAAATTGTTGGTACCCCTCGGTTAATGAAAGAAAAACCCACAATGGTCACAGAAATAAATTGAATCTGACAAAAGTAATAAAAAATAAAAATTCAATGAAAATTAACCAATGAAAATCAGACATTGCTTTTGAACCGTGGTTCAACAGAATTATTTGAAAAAATAAATTCATGAAACAGGCCTGGACAAAAATGATGGTACCCCTAGAAAAGACTGAAAATAATGTGACCATAGGGACATGTTCAATCAAGGTGTGTCCTCTAAAACTCAAACTTGTAATCAGTCAGTCAGCCTATTTATAGGGTTACAAGTAGTCATTGTGCTGTTTGGTGACATGGTGTGTACCACACTAAACATGGACCAGAGGAAGCGAAGGAGAGAGTTGTCTCAGGAGATTAGAAAGAAAACTATAGACAAGCATGTTAAAGGTAAAGGCTATAAGACCATCTCCAAGCAACTTGATGTTCCTGTGACTACAGTTGCACATGTTATTCAGAAATTTAAGATCCACGGGACTGTAGCCAACATCCCCGGATGTGGCCGCAGGAGGAAAATTGATGATAAATTGAAGAGACGGATAATACAAATGGTAACAAAAGACCCCAGAACAACCCCTAAAGACATGAAAAGGTGAACTCCGAGGTCAAGGTACATCAGTGTCAGATTGCACCATCCGTCATTGTTTGAGCCAAAGTGGACTTCATGGGAGACGACCAAGGAGGACACCATTGTTGAAAACAAATCATAAAAAAGCCAGACTGGAATTTGCCAAATTGCATGTTGACAAGCCACAAAGCGGCGCATCAGCTCTATGTTCACAGACGCAAAAATGAAGCATATCAAGAAAAGAACACTGTCCCTACTGTGAAACATGGAGGAGGCTCTGCTATGTTCTGGAACTGCCTTGCTGCATCTGGCACAGGGTATCTCGAATCTGTGCAGGGTACAATGAAATCTCAAGACTATCAAGGTATTCTAGAGAGAAATGTGCTGCCCAGTGTCAGAAAGCTTGGTCTCAGTCACAGGTCATGGGTCTTGCAACAGGATAATGACCCAAAACACACAGCAAAAAACATCCAAGAATGGCGAAGAAGAAAACATTGAACTATTCTGAAGTGGCCTTCTATGAGCCCTGATCTAAATCCTATTGAACATCTGTGGAAGGAGCTGACACCATTGGAGAAGGCACCTTTCAAACCTGAGACAACTGGAGCAGTCTGCTCATGAGGAGTGGACCAGAATACCTGCTGAGAGGTGTAGAAGTCTCATTGACAGTTACAGAAATAGTTTGATTATAGTGATTGCCTCAAAAGGTTGTGCAACAAAATATTAAGGTAAGGGTAGCATCATTTTTGTCCAGGCCTGTTTAATGAGTTTTTTTTTTTTTTTTTTTAAATAATTCTGTTAAACCACGGTTCAAAAGCAATGTCTGATTTTCACTGATTTATTTTCATAGAATTTTCATTTATTATTACTTTTGTCAGATTCAAGTTATTTCTGTGACCATTGTGGGTTTTTCTTTCATTAACTGAGGGGCACCAACAATTTTGTCCACGTGTGTATAGGCAGGTGTACACTGGTCTGCTTTGAGTCTGTTCTCTAATACATTACAAGTCATTATTATTATTTACCAGATGAGAAGGTTAAATTGAAGTTTAATATTTTAAACATGTTTCTAAAATTAGATACAACCAGTGACAATTAACAGAAAAAGAAGTACTGGATCTGTAATTTTACGTAGATTAATTTGTTAAATGAGAGATATCTTGCATAAGTACACAGGTTTTCACAGCTACATGGGTGAATAAATAATATCTATAAGCATTAGCGCGACATAATAAATCAGTTTAATGTTGCATCTGTTGCCAATGAAGTTGACTGAATGGGCAGTACATTGTTCCTGAGTGGTCAATAAAGTCTAAATCCAATCGATAATTCTGATTTACCTGATATTAATTACATTTATTATTCTGAACCTGCACATTAACTACAGCTGTAGTACACATGCAGTGCATGAACAGAGGAAGTACAAGAGCTGTGTACTTACATGCAGTCAGTGAACCTAGTTACTGTGAGTAAGTGAAGAATGACACACGCAGGACGGCACACATACGCACACACAGACACACGCACGCGCGCACACACACACACGCAGACACACACAGACACACAGACACACAGACACACACACACACACACACACACACACAACATTCTGACCAGACGACAATCAAAGGAATTGTACATAAAGTTTGGATTGAATAAAGAGCCTCTTACTGTTTTTGTGTCAGCTTTCGAAGGTTTGCAGCTTCATGTCGACTCAACATGCGACACATTAACACACAGGAACACACACTCAGCAGCTTTATGACTGACAGCTGCAGCACAACTTAAGCTCCGCCCATTATGCCACAAGCAACTCCCCCTCCAGCATAGCCTTTTGTGCAGACCCCGCCCAGACAGGACATGACATCACAGCTATTAACCTCTGTTAGCTTGTACAAATTAGCTTGTGTATATTAGACTGTATATTAGTCCGCAGTTTATATATCACATCTCAACAACCAACGTGAAAAAATAATTTTAACGGTAAGCTCGGTTCATTTTCAGAAATCCCATAAACATGGGCGGCTGCACACTGGCTTGCTCTTCGTTTGTTTTCATAATTTCAGCATAAAATAACAATGTTCAAATGACACTATACACTGCCAAATACTACACTGTAAAAAAAATATCTGTATCATTATGGATGTGTTCCTTTTTATTTAACAATTTTTTTCAGCATCTTTAAAATAAAACAGACTGAATTTACATGTCCAAAGTAAAATAAAATTAAAAACCTGCAACTCTGAATAACCATAAAATGTTTTTTTAAACAAAACTGAACCGTGTGTTAATTTGCGTATATTAGCCTGTGTGTTTTAGCCTATGTATATCAGCCTGTCATTATTATCCTGTGTATCGTATATTAGTCTTTGTATGTTAATCTGTGCATATTAGACTGTGTATATTAGCATGTATGTGATAGCCTATGAGTTTTAGCCTATATATGTCAGTATTTGCCTGTATACTTTATATTAGTCTGTGTATATTACCCTGCGCATGTCAGCCTCTTTTAGCCTGTGTGTGTATTAGCCTGTGTTAGCCTTGTGTGTTAGCCTGTGTTTGTTAGTTTCTGTTTGTTATCCTCTGTTAGTCTGTGTGTGGTAGCCTACGTTTGTTAGCATCTGTTAGCCTGTGTGTGTGTTAGCCTCTGTTCGCCTCTGTTAGCCAGTGTACATCAGTCTTTGTGTTAACCCGGTGTGTTAGGCTGTGTGTCTTAGCCTATGTTTGTCTGTACATATCAGTATGTGTGTTGCCGTATGTGTATATCCCTTGTGTGTTAGGCTGCATGTGTTAGCCTATGTTAGCCTGTGTATGTGTGTGTGTGCGTGTGTGTCCACCTCTGTTAGCCTACGAGTGTTAGGCTCTGTCCGTTAGCCTCCGTTAGCCTGTGTGTTTTAGCGTGCTGTATTTAGCAGCAGCAGTAATCCTCTGTGAGCTGCAGGATTATTAATCTGATAATCTGATTACAGTGTGCATGTTTGCATGTGTGTTTGTTTGTGTTGTGAAAGAATGCGCATGTGTCTGTGTGTTTGTGTGTGTAGGTGTGTGTGTGGGTGTGTATATGTGTGCTGGTTGTGGGTGTCACTCTAATTAACAAAAATAAAACTAATTAAGACTCAGACAGACTTTAAAGACCAGTCCGAGTGTTTCCTACTAACCTGCAGACACAGCTGAGGGAGAAATAACCGGATCAACATTTGTCTGTGCAAGAAGAAAGAATCGACATACCAATTTATAGATTGATGGATAGCATCTAAAATTAGGGATGTTCGAATGCGCTGCAACACACAACACTGATTGATCGGGGGAAGAGAGGGGCATCTTCATTTTGAGCTGCAATATGTAAACAGATTCAGTTCACATAATGTAATGATAAAATAAAAATACTGACCGCTCTGTGGCACCGTTGCTCATTGGCCCCGTGGCTCCTGGAGGTGCCAGCGTTGGTGGGTGTGGAGCCCCATGTGAACTGTGGTTGACGGACAGCAGTGATGTGTTGGAATAAAATTCCCCGGACCGAGTGAGAATCTCCTGCTGCTTCCTGCACACGTTACACACCCACATCACCTGTAAAACAGGTAAACACACACACATCACTTATATTACAGGTAAACACACACACATCAGCAGATGGGTGTACTACAAAGCAAGTAGTAACACTAATATACAGTTTATTATACACAAGTAGTAGTTAGTGAGTTATGTTGAGCCTGAAGTCAGAGTTTCATTGTGATGAAGGTGGCTCTTGTTTAACCTGCCAATCACCATGGTAACAGATGCTGCTGATGCTGCACAGTTGACCTGAGGGGTGTACTGTGAAGCAAGTTTGACATAGCCAGGCTTTCTTTGTGTAAGCCGAATCGACAAAACCGAAAGCCCCAGCCAGAGATTACGGGTATCACAAAGGTGGTTATCAACTTTCTTTGTCAAGTCAGACTTTCTGCTTCAGACTCTCTGCGCGTTCACATAAAAAGGGGCGTTCAGCGCGTCACGTCACTCTTCTTCTGCACAAAACTAAACAATCGTCTGCAGCTGCTTCAACACGTTGTTTTAATGTAGAACAATGAGGAATATATATATATATTTTTAAAAATATGACAGTAAAAAGCACCGCTACTGTAAATGGTGAAGACAGGAATGCTGGTAGAAAACTGTTAAACGTGCTCAAATAGAATATTTTACCAATGCAGCCGCTTATATCAAACTGACAGCTGCACGTTAAAATTAAACTTTAAACTTCATACATTTAAACATGATCTTGCATTGAACCACATTTAGGTCTGACTCTGTCCCATAATGCAGGTTATTGATTGAATGTTCTCTGTAATAAATACCAGTAGAATAAATCCATTTCCTCACCTGTGTTCTATCAGCTGCAGTACCAGCAGAGTAAACGGACTTGTCAGCAGATCAGAACATAATTATGTGATTTCTGCATTGCCAACTTAAGATGTCGGGTTCCCATGGCAACGTGATATTTACAGTAGGGCTGGAACTGAACATCCAAGTATCCAAATAATTGGTCGTTTTGGTGGTATATGATATATATTCGCCCGAAATCTGCCCCAGCCTGCACACTCTCGCCGCCGCCGCCGATGGTGGCAACAGAACTGTGACCATCAACCTAAACTGGCAACAGTGCCAAGTACTGCCTGTGCAGAGCGCTCCGTCTCCGTCGACTGTGGGATATTGTAACTACACGGCTTCATTCAGTGATATCAGTAACGCACAACTCAGCATGTTCACAGATAAAACACATTCCCTCAGCTGAGAATCTGCATCACTCATAAACAATAGTCAGGAAACGATGTGGTTAAAGGGAGACGCTCCTTCAGCCGATTTAAATCCGAAACGTTGAACATAACCTGCTCCCGACCAGGTTAGCTCCACGGCATGAGTTACCATGAAGACCTAGCCAGGTAAAAAGAGAGCCACCTTCGTGATACTGAAAACTCTGGCTTTAAGCTCGACATACATCGCTAACCCACTAATCTCGCTTCATGGTACAGCCCTCTGGTCCGGAGGAGGTTATGGTCAGATTTTCGGATTTATATCGGCTGAAAGAATTGTCTCTCTTTCATCACTTTGTTTCCCAATGATTTTGTATAAGCAGTACCAATTCCCAGTTGGGAGAATACATATATCTGCAAACCTATTAAGCTGTGCGTTTGTAATCCCAGTGAACGAAGTTATACAGCTACATTTGAGTGTGTTGCATTGCCATGAGAACCTACATGCATGCAGCTGGTGATGCAGATAATGCATAAATATGTGAAGAAATCATTTGCAAAAACAGACAACTTCATTTTTTATAGATTCACAGAAAACATTTTTTGTTTGCTTCAGATAATATCAATCAAACTGAAGTTGAGTGGATTTGACTCAGTAGAAATGACATGGCAAAAATAGAGATAACTTAAGTTTTGATTGATATTTTCTCAGGTAGACGATGGAAAAGTGGGTTTTCTGAAGGTTTGTGAAGATGGAGTTATCTGTTTTTGCAAATGAACTCTTCATAAGTTGTTTGTTTCTGATTTTTGCAGTGTCTTTTTTACACAGCTGTTGCAGATAAGAGATTGGGATTAGAAAGTGTATTGGTATTTATCACAAATAACATTCAATCAATAAAAATAACTTCACTTTGTTCAAAAACGAAACCAATTTCCATGCATCCATCACTATGGGACAGTGTCAAACCCAAATGCATGTTTAAATGTATGAAGTTTAGAATTTACCATTTAATCATTCTAATACGTAACTGAATAAGGAGACCGCAGAGCGATAAAATAAATGCATATTAACTTAATGATAAACAGTTTTCTACCATTATTCCTAACTTGCATTAATTGCAGCAGCAGCACTTTTTACCATAAATAATTCCTATATTCTCCATAGCTTTCCAGTATAAAAAACTGTTCCTCCTTACTGAAGCAGGCAGCAAACGATTGGTCCATTTTGTGTCAATGTGAAGAGTCACACGATGCATCAAACACCCTTGTTTATGTGAACATGCAGAGAGTCTGAAGAAGAAAACTCTTATAGCCGAAAGTTGATAATCACTGCTGTGATACACATGATGTCTGACTGGGGTTTAAGGTTATGTCGAGACAGCATACACAAATATTGTCTGGCTGTATTAAATATCCTTCGTAGCACACCCATCCGGAAAACAGGTAAACACACAAATGCATATTTACTACACACACATATCAACAGTGGTGAATGATGAGAGTAGATGAGCCTCAGTGAGCTGCTGAGATTTTCTCATAGAACATGTGGCTCCATCTGGTGTCCAAGCAGAACAACAACAGCAGCAGGTGAACAGCTCCATGTAAGGAAGACGTTTACTTTGATATCATTCATTTATAAATAATGTAATCTATGTGTTCTAACCGGAATAAATAAATTCACTAATAACTGAGCTATTTTTATTGGGCTAAAAGTACTCACAACTTGTATAAAACAGCACCAAAGTCGTCATTTAAAGTTAAAAGGAATTCTGAAAGGGAGTCCTTTCATCAGGGCTGCAAGGTGGCGTGGTGGTTAGCATTGTTGCCTCACAGCAAGAAGGTTACCGGTTTGCGTCCCGGTGAGGACACCTGGGATCTTTTTGTGTGGAGTTTGCATGTTCTCCCAGCGTGGGTTCTTTCCGGCTTCCTCCCACAAGATCCAAAAACATGTTAAGGTTAAGTGGTGATTCTAAATTGTCTGTAGGTGTGAATGTGAGTGTGCTTGGTTGTCTGTCTCGAAGTGTCGCCCTGGCGACCTGTCCAGGGTGTCCCCTACCCCCTGCCCTGTTCCAGCCCCTCCGCAACCCTAGTGAGGATTAAGCGGTGTATAGATAATGGATGGATTCCTTTCATCATGTAATACAGATATTTAAGTTATAAGTTCAATGTTTTCCCCAATGGAAAGCTTCGTAATATATTACAGTAAAATCTGAGGCACAGCTGGCAGACAATGAAAATAAAGTTTTGCTGCAACAGTACTGTAAAACCTTAGAAGTGATTTTCCGCACATTTGCAGTTACATTTAATAAATTTGATCTCCAAACAACCTCTACAGCATCAGAGGAGCCTTCACTGCAGTTACTAAATGGCACTGTATTCATCAAAACATTAACGAAAAAGGAAACAGTGACGAGTTTATGGGCACGTTATCGCTTTTCATGTTCTAATGTGAGAGCGAGATATTTAGACAATTGGAGAAAAGAAAATAATTTGGGTTTTTTGTTTTATCTGTTTTCCACTTTGTTTTAAAATCACCTCCAAACCTTGTCATGTTTTTCAGGGAACCAAGCATAACATCAATACAATGCTATGACTTTCTGTTTTCCATTTGTTTGCTGAGCCACAATCCAATTATCAACAATATAAGTTCTAGACTTAAAATTTAAGTCTATTTCTTCCATCTGAAGCTCCGCCCACACGCCCACACACTGACCTTATTGGCTCTCAGCTGGACACGCCCCCCGCAGCGGGCGCAAAACAGACTCTGACAGTAGCAGCAGGCTCGGCCACAGCCGTTGGCGAACTTCGTCTTGCGACAAACGCCGCAGGTGGGAGACTCCGCCCTCACCGTCTGAACTGCCGGCGGCTCCTCCCCCAACTTCTTCACCTGGTCTTTGTACATCTCAAACTGCTGATGTAGCTTCCTGTGGGCGAATCAGCGAGAGGAGCAGTCAGTATATTTCATGAAATATCTTTATCTTCGCATCTTTAATTCTTTCAAAAAATCTATTTAGCAGATTTTTTAATCACTTTTTCTCATGTGCAGAGTTTTTAGCCACTCCTCTGTCTGTTTCATATTTGTAATATTTTTTTAAAAAATCAAATTGCTAGTCTATTTGATTTTCTTGTTCAGTCTTTGTATATTTTTATATTGACAATTTAATCTACTTTTTATTATTTTTCCATGTATTTAGACATCTACTTGTGATTTTATTTTCTTGTTCTGTTTGTTAAATTGTTATCTTCTACTTTTGAATGAATGTATTTTCTAGTTTGTCCTTTTTATCTTTTGTACCAAAATTTTAATCTATTCTTTATTGCAGTCGTGACTCAATAATCTAACACTAAATGTAATACCTTCTTTTATGTTGGACAGTAAGGCTGTCAGATTGTCAAGATGGAAGTTGAGATACAAGGAGGACTTGATGCTTAAAGGGTAATTTGTGGTTAATAGTTATTGTTCATAGTTGTTATAATAACGAGTAGGGCTGGTCCGAATACCACTTTCTGGTCTCTGGATATTCAGGTCCAATTAATTATGAATGTTCGAATATTCGGTGCAGTGAGGGGGAACACTTCCACCCCAGGGGTGCGCTCCGACGGGGTGGAAGTGGCCGGAACACACAGGCAGTGCTTGGCTGCTGATGCCAGTTCAGGCTAGCGGTCCCAGTTTTCCACTATCGCTGCTGCCACCACCGCCACTGCTACCATCGGTGTCTACTTCCGTAAACACTGAGCACGCTCGCGGCGTGTGACATGGTCATATCGTCTTCAGCGCATGCAGGACACTTTTGGCTCGAATGGAGTTCACACAGGACATCACATACAAAGTCACATTTAATTGGAAATGTGAACAAACTCGCAAAAAAAAAACAACAAAAAAACAGATTTCACAAAAAATCTAAATTGAGCATTAAGTCCTGCAGTCTGAATGTAGCCAATCTGTCGGATTGTTAAATCAGGTAATATGCCGTTATCTTTATTTGTGGCAAAAAATGTCATGTCGGAGTCGGTATTCAAGGCTGTTGTTAAGTTAAGGCTATTTTTCATGGGTTCCGTTTGTTTTTCCAAAAACCCTGTTGGATAGCAAGGTTTTCGGATTGCTAAGGGTTGGATTATCGAGTCACGACTGTACTTGATTGTTATGTTTGGTCGTTTTGAATGTTTTATTGAGTTTTAATCTAGTTTTTATTATTTCCTTTAATTTTAGGACTTTATCTTATAATCTAGTTTCATTACATTTTCTTATTTTATTTTCATCTTTTGTCTTTTTTTTAAATTATGTACTTTTTAGTTTTTCAGTGAAGTCTCTTAACTTTACTTCATCAAGTTTTTAATCTAGTTTTTTTTCATTATTTGTCTTTAATATTTTTTTGTTGAGTTTTTATTATTGTATTTTTATGTTTTGTCTTTTTTTTAAAAACCTATTTCTTTGTGATTAACTATATTTCAGTATCTACTTCTTCTGTCTTATTTCTGTCTGACAAGTCATCCTTGAAGCTCTGAGCTGTATGAAATGGGCTATATACTAGTAAATAACATCCAATGGATTAATTGACTGATTGATAGAAAGAGGCTGAGAGAGACAGAGAATTTGTTCTAGAAACATCTTCTTTGACTAAATGATAGCTGGGATATTTAGTCAGAGCTCAGCTGGAACATCATTACACGATATTTGAGGTTTTTTCAAAGAGGATGCTAAAGACAGTGAGGTGAAAAAAATCTTTATATTTTCTGGGCTCACCCTTCACTGACATTGACTGACTGACATTGCAAGAATAAATGAACAAGCTCTTTATTTAAAAAATAATCCAAATGCAAGTGAACAATCAGTTCAACATGTGAAAAATATTTTAAACAGTACAAAAACCTGATTATATATGATTCTATATTTATACACAAATGCTACTTTTATTTCATTGCATTATGGGATTGTTGCACACTGGATGTCATGAACTGGACGTTTTTCAGAGTTCTACGTGGCAGATTTATCCACACAGACGGTGCAACATACAGTGACACAGCTGAGGATTGTATGTCTCTCAGTTCCTGGTTCTGATCCACCTGAAACCAGAACCATGAGACGCCATCGGGTCAGTTGTCTACCCGAACAGAACCACAGACCTGGGGTCAGTTCAGCCTCTGGCTGTTACTCACGACTGCAGCTCGTCGTCTGTTGGACTTTTAACCTGCAGAACTTCGGACACGTTGGCAGCAACGTTATTGACCAACTGACTGAACCCTGAGAATGGATTCCACCTGTCCAGGTGACACACACAGTCAGCTGACAGGAAGCACATTCACTGGGGGAGGGGGCAATTTGAATAGTTTGATGAGCGGGGAAAGCGGCGTGGCCAAGACAGGTGCACTCTGGGAGATGTAGCACTGACTGAGGTACTTACACAGCCGAGGGAGGTTTCACTTCCTCCTGATCCCTGCAGGCACAAACGTGACGATGATGGTAATGATGGTGAAATAAAATAAAAAATGAAGTCAGAACAGAAACAAACAAAAACTGAAACATAAAATAATCTGAAACATAAATGTGAAGAACCAAGCTGCTGACATTCATCAGAACATGCTTTTATCTGTTGACTTCAGATGTAATGGTTCTCCTCTGTGACCAACACAGAACTGAGTTGCAGCAGAAAAACGAGCCTAAACATCCAGTCCAAGTCACAAAGAACCACCAGGTTCTGCAGGAGGCCTGCATCAGGTGGCCTGACGCTCTCTGAGCCGTTATCTCAACATCATGTGTTCTAGATGTCAGTGGGGAGGTTCTAGAGGTTAGTGAGGATTCTCTAGAGGTCATTGAGATGGTTAGAAAGGTCAGTGAGGAGGTTCTAGAGGTCAGTCAAGATGTTCTAAAGGTTTAGGAGGTTCTAGAGAAAGAAATCTTGACGGATTTACAAACGGTTTGGTTTATTACAAACATAATTAACGTGGCTACAATTCAAAGTACAAAAAGAAGAAAGAAATAAAATACAAAATAATTAAAATACTAATTGTTGCTGGCCGTGAGAGTGCAACATAATTATCTATAAGTGCAGTTTTATGACTACACCTCTGACGCTTATAACAAACCAAACCATTGAAAATCGGTAGAAAATTGATCAAGTTATGGTTATTTAAAAAGTACATGCAACACTACAACACAATGTTATGGGTGAGCGAGCACACCGTGGCCAACAGCGTGGACGAGACATCTCGCCTTTAGTATACATATCTATGGTTCTATAGGTAACTGAGGAGGTTCTGGAAGTCAGTGAGGAGGTTCAAGCAGTCAGTGTAGGTTCTAGAGGTTACTGGATGTCCGTGAAGAGGTTCTAGGGGTCAATGTAGGTTCTGGAGGTCACTGGATGTTCTGGAAGTCAGTGAGGAGGCTCTATAAGTCACTGACAAGGTTAGTAAGAGATCACTAGAGGTTGTAGAGGCCAGTGTGGAGGTTCTCGAGGTCAGTGGGTAGATTCCAGAGGTCCATGCTGAGATTCTAAAGGTCACTGACAAGTTCAGCAAGTGGGTTCTAAAGCTCAGTGAGGAGGTTCTAGAAGTCACTATGGATCTAGATATCAGCAAGGAGATTCTAGAGGTCAGTGAGGAGATTTTAGAGATCACTTTGGAGTTTACTATTTGTCATCACAGTACTGTAGACTGTTCTAATCCTGCTGATATTTGTTCTGTCTGTTCTGTTGTGCATCTTTCTTTATATTCCTGTATGTTTGTTCTCATCTCAGCCTGTAAAGAACCAACTGTTCCAGTTGTCAACAAACGCAAACTGTTTATGAATCCAGCCATCTGCAGGCTGAGACAAACAGACAATTCAATCTTCATACTCTGAATGATGTCAGCACCAAACGTCAAGCATCATTCTTTGTATTTTAAAACTGATTCCCTCTGAATTCAGCAGCTTTTATTTTGGAAAAATGAACATAAAGAAGTGGCAGAAAGAAACAAAACACAATCAGACAAGACATAGGTCAAATTAAAATCATATATAGATGTCATGTGATCAAGCTCAGAGCCCAGTCATGGATCACACCTGGCCACGCCCCCAACCAGTGATGTCACAGCAGCTTTGGAGGAGCTGCTGGTTTGAATCCCAGGCAGAACAGACCGATTGATCAGGTGATCAGTGAAAGCCATTTACTTCTGAGAGCAAATTTCAGCAGCATCAATTGAATAACACTGTCGTTTTCAGAAACAAAAAAAATGTTCAAAGTCTGCACGAGTCCACATTTAAACAACAGACTATGTGGATCAGAAACATGAACACAGCAAACTTCCCTCAGCTCAGTGTTTACAGAAAACAACCAGGATATATGTTTGATGTTAGACTCCAGACGCTGTGATCCACATTAAACCTCCGCCCCTCTTGACCCATCAACACCCCCACTAATGAGATAACTGGATTTAAAGTCTGCATATCCACAAGCTGGACTGTAACCACCAACCAGCCTGTAAAACCAGCAAACATCCAACCACGTCCGGGGATGAACTGCACCCAAAATCTTGTCTGCAGCACCAAACTCAATACAGAAAACCCCAAATTTAAGACCCACATCTGCATCTTGTCAGTTTTTATTTTTTTTATTGATTCAGATGTAACTTTGTGAACCAGCACCTGCTGAATACGTCACAAGAAGCTCATTCATGAAGTCAGAGGATTTTTTTCTCTCAAGGTCTGATTGTATTCTTCCTTGTGTCCTTAATTAACCCACCGCCCCTCCACCACCAGCTGAGTCCAGACCCAGAGGGACCCTGTCCTCTCTGGCCTTCATGTGGACCTGCATTGAATCTGTCTCTGCTGTTCTGAGATGATTTCACGACAGCAGGACATTTACAACAGCTGTCAGATGAGATGAATCATGTCCATCCGACGGCTACAGACTAGACTATAACATTAAGATTGCATAAAAAAAACATAAAACATTTGGTTGACTCTGTGCTTTCCAAACATTTTGATATAGTAAAAAGCATTTTGTGTCTCAGTGTGAAACGACTGAACCGTGTTTTCTCTTCTTCCCTCTCCTGGTAAACATCTGATGACCCCTCACATTTACCAGTTGACCCTTTCAAGGGGCGTGACCCCCAAGTTGGGAACCACTGGAATGAACTGTCCGACTGTATTCTAAAGTAGGTAAACCAGCTCCAACAGCAAAAATTTGCTATAATACATAGAGTCAGTGTTAGGAGACTTATTCTTTCTCATATTTTGATTGCATTCAGCTGACAATACTCGAGTACCTTTACTCAGTAAGATTGTAACTGCAGTACTTTTAGTTTCGTAGGGTTGTAACTGGAGTACTTTTACCTGTACCTTCGTGGTGATCCCACCTGCATGACTGTGACCTGACTGGAGGTCAGAGGTCACCTTGCTTTACATGGGTCACATGACATCCCTGTCACTTCATTTCAGCTGAAACTAACCCTTCTGCTCCAGCTGAGAAGGGTTTCATTTTGAATGGTGCCCTGAAATTGCACAGTTTTGTGCTTTTAATTTGTCTGACTCGATCATCAGATGCAATCAATAATCAATAATCTTACTTGAGCATGCTCTGCTCCTTCTCCTCCTCCTTCTTCTGCCTCTCCATCACCGACAGGATGATGCTCCGCTCCTCTTCCGTCAGGTGGCTCAGGTCCGGTAGTTCCGACCCGGCCCCGGCGGGCGGTGCAGGTCCGGCCGGCCCAGACATGCTGACAGCGGGCCGCTGCAAGAGAAGGAGGCGGGCCGTCAGCGCCATGTGGCAGTAATGATGATGATAATGACGATAATAATACTGATAGCGGGCCACATGATGCTGATGGTGGTGATGATGAAGGCCACAGAGCTGCAGGGTGTTCACGTTATTCTGTCCAGCTCCAGGTGCGCTCGGCGGCTCTGCGTGCAGCTGTGTGACCGCCGAGCAGCCTCGAGGTGCGGACACGGCAGCGGTTAGAGAGCCGCTCCACCTGCAGCCGCCATCAGAGCATCCACCTGTTTATGCCTTCATCCATCATCCCTCCATCATCATCCGTCCATCATCACCGTCTCTCCCGCGCTCACCGACAGGCGCAGCGGCGTCCTCTCGCTTTTTATTCCGCAGTCATGTCGCCTCCTCCGTGGTTTGGCTCCGGTCGGCTCTCCGTTCCGCCGGGGGCTCTCATCCTCCGCTGCCCGGCGGCGGTTCGGCCCTTCCTGGTTGGTCTGCTGTTGTCGCGGTCGCCCGCTCCGATTGCTCGGTTCTGCTCGGTGATAATGGACGCAGCGGCGACGGAGGAGACGGAGGAGAAAATAAATAAATCCTCCATAGGAAGTGGGCGGGGCCACGGCGTGACGGCGTGACGTAGCACCGAGCTGAGGGTGGGGAGTCAGGTGAGTCCAGTCTGAGCTAAACATAGACCTGCAGCCAAACATAGACACACACATACACACACACGTCTGCAGTCGATCAATCAATAGGCTGATCGATGACTCAGTCAATAACTATTTTAGGATCAGACTGAGGATGAAACAGAATAACAGCAATGACAATAGTAGGAATAATAATAATAAGAAATCTATAAGAAGTTAAGAGACTTTTCATATAATATAATATAATATAATATAATATAATATAATATAATATAATATAATATAATATAATATAATATAATATAATATAATATGTTTCAGGTGGAAATTTTTCATTCCACAACATGAATAAAGACACTTAACAGCTGTTCAAATATCAACAAATAACGGAATCAATAAAATGTGAAAGCCTGAAATGTTAACTACAGCAACAATAATAATATTCCTAATAATAGTAAATCAACAAGCAATAAATAGATTTTTGTTAAGTAATATAATTTATGTTTTTTTTTGTTATGTTGTGTTATGTTATGCTGTGTTATGTTATGTTATGTTATGTTATGTGTTTCAGCTGAAAGTTTTACATCATGCTGCTGCAGGAGGATATAGATTCAGACACTTAGAGCTCTTCAAACATCAATAAATAACTGAGCAACTGAAGTGTGTAAGTCTGAAATGCTGTGTAGAGAACAGTGTCCTCTGCTGGACAACTATAGTTAAAACAGGACTAAAGTCCTCTAATGTACAGATGACTTGCAGATCAAAAACCAAAACAACCAAAGAGCCTGAACACTAATTAAGAAAACTTCCTACAGAACCTCTAGAGCCTCCCCACTAAACGAAGGTAACATCACAATGAACATCAGGATGAGGATAGATGATATATGAGTGTTTGTGATGCTTTTGATCTTCTGGATTTTGACAACAGTCTTTAGCTTTACTCAGGACAAAGACAAACCTCTTTCAGATGTACCATCTTCAGTGATAACTAGAACCTTGTCAGTGATTTAAAAAAAATAATCCAGAAGAACAATCAGTGATAAATGGGACAGGTACCTTAAAGGCCACTAGACAGTCCTAAAGGGCCCCTAATACATTGTTTCCACTCAGCTGTGTTTTGTGTTTGTCATTCTCTGTAGAACTACCAGAACATCATGAAAGACACCACAAACCCTCCAGTAACCAGTAGAACCTCCTGACTAATCCTTAGACCTCAGACTTCAAAATAACTGTAGGGTTTTAGTGGGTGGAAAATAAGGTATACTTATTTTCACACCAAAGCAAGTGATTGCATTAATTAAAATGATTAAAACCAACCTTTGAATTATTCGTCCAGCGATATAATTTCAGAGTCAGCATGATAATTCCAATAAATTGTTTACTCTTGGTGATCAGTCAAGAGTGTTTTATAAAGTTAAAGGAATTAACTTAGAGCTCAGGTAACTAAAGATCAGATACCTAAAGTGACTGGATGAAAACTATAGAAAGCACAGGAAACAACTGTATACACACACACAACATTTATTGCTAACTAAACAAACAAACAAACAAATAACAACAACAAACATAAAATATAAAATACAAACAATGATGAAAATGTTGGTTGAGAGTATGAGTGTGAAAACCGAATGTGGAACAGAGTGATGGCTTGGAGACTTAAAAGTCTTTTCACCTGAAGCAGCAGATAATCTGTTAAATTTGGAATATTGGTCTGAAGGCCAATTATAATCATAAAACACCCGTTTAGAGACAGAAGCTTGATACTTGCAGTGTCTTGGCGGGTGCAACAGCGTCTGGAATTGGGAGACGAGGCCTTCAGCTTGAGTTGGATCAGGGTGTGGCAGTTGAAGTTGCTACATTGGACCAAAGTCGGCAGCTCTCCTGCAGTTAGAGAATGCCCCTAGAGAATCCTAGAGAATGCCCCTAGAGAATGCCCCTAGAGAATGCCACTGCTTTTTGGGTGAAGAGGCTTTTTAATAGTAAAACTACTGACCAATCACAGCGAGCTCCGCTCCCAGAGGGGCTGTTAGATATGACATCCCAGTATCACAGGGAGGTCATGAGGTGGTCAGAGTTTTGCTCTGAAAGTAACAATGTTCCTTCAGAACTATATGTATTTGTACTGATACAAAGCTAAGCTTGTTGGAAATGAATGTGTCACATGTAAAGCTTCACGGGGAGAGTAAACATGACTAATCTATCTCTGACGGTTACAGAAATAACACAATGCTTAGGATATGGTAATATAACAAGCTGATAAATTAAAGAAGGACTTATCCAACTGTAATTCAGCTTTGGAGTATTTATCAGGACATGATATAACACAACATTTAACAATTAAACTTAACACAAGATAATAAGGCACATCTTCTGGTGCTGTGTCTTCCCGGTTCATTGATAAGTTTATTTGTTAGGTTCAATTGTTGCATGCCACAGGAAATGAGGGGTCAGCAGAGCAATACGTTAAGCCCGGGGCACTTCATTGCGCCTGGCTATCTGTTAAGGTCTGCGTGGTTGAATGTTTTTCTTTGTCTTCCCCCAAAAGCTTCTTCGTGTTACGATGTTTTGCAGCTCTGATAGGTGTGATAAGGGAATTCCTAAGGGAGCTCTGCTTCCTCACTCCTCCGAGTCTGCAGAGCTGATTTTCATGGCCCTGTGACCTGCAGGACAGTTCTGTCTTTTTATGGCATGTGACTTGGGTGCTGGAAAGTTCAAATTAAGTTTTTTGAATCCTTTTGGGCATCTGTGTCTGTCCACATCCTACATAACTATTACTAGAATCTGTGATGCAGCATCTAAAACATCTTTCAAGATCACTAGAAGCCATGTAAGTGTCACTAGAACCACTAAAAAGACCACTACAACCACTAGGACTACCAGAACATCGTATAAGACCCCTCCAAACCCCTCAGTAGTTGAACCTAAATAACCCTTAAACCCTGGACCTGTAAAAAAACAACAACAACAAAAAAAAAAAACAACCTAGAACCTGATATGTGATGTCTAAATTTTACACTTTGATTTTTGCTCATTTAAAGCTAAAAGAAACTTAAAAAAAATGTTTTATGTCGTTTTTAGTTTTGAGCTTTTTATATCTTCGGATCATTTTGAAGCCACAGCTGTCTCCATCTTTGTTACCATGGTTACGTGTGATATTCTGGTCCATGTCCCTCTGTTCTGTGGTGATACAACAGACGGACTCTCCTCAACAAATCCACTTATCTCCAAACTCTGAGCTGCTCTCTCTGTTTGTCCTGCTCACTGAGCAGCAGCACCAGTACTGAATAAGACTTATTTTAGATGAGCTCATTTATCTCTGTAACGGTGTAGTTTTTATTCACTGATAAAAAAAAAAAAAAGTTAAAGATTTAATCACAGTTCTTGTTCTAAGAAGTTACTTTTGTATTTGTTTTTCTAATGAAAAACAGCATTAAAAAATATATCTTCTTAGCCTAACTGACTTCTAGTGCTTCTCGCTACGATATACTGCGTGTGATGGCATTTCATTTACACCTGCTTGTTTTTTGTGGTTATTTACATTTGCTGCTTTTACTTTTGATTAATTCCTATTTTTTGTTTTATATTTGACTTATTTTTGCTTTGCTTTAGTTTTGATTTCATATGATTTTGGGATTTACTTGTTAGCTTTTCTTTTGTATTTAATTGACATGACGTCCCTGGAATTTATTTATATATATTTATTTTGTATTTGATTATTCTTTTTTAAAAAAATAGACTGTATATGGTGTTTAAGGTTCAGGTAAAGTTAAAAATATTTCCACTGCTTCTCTGTGTTTTACCTTGATGAAATAATTGTTCACGTTGCAGGTTGATGTTTTTTGGACGTTTGGGTCACAACCGGGATGCAGACGATGGCTCTGGTTTTGGACACCTGGTCTGAACTCACTCATCCTTTGAGTCAAATAACCGTTAATTTAATCACAAGTAAAAAATATGCACATGGAAACATGAACTCAGAGCAGCAAGAACAATCAGCAACAGCTTTAATAACTGTTCATCGTTGAAGACATTATGAGAAAAACTTCTATGAGTCCACCTTCATCAACATAGTACTTCAGTGAACTCACTCTGTTTGGTCGGACAAAACCAGGCGAATCAACACAACTCTGACTTCCGCTTTCACTTGGTGTTTCTGACAGTTTATCGATCCATCAATGATCAATCAGAGAGAAGAGAAGAAGACTTTTGCTGTCAGGTCATTACACTCCTCCATGCACATTTTGCCTGACCCCACCCTTCACTTTAAAGCTCATGTGACCTTAGCAGCACGTCAGAACAATCTTGAGACCTTACGCAACGACGGGTCATCAGAACCGCCAAGGCTGATGGGAACTTCCCGATCCCCGCTGAACATTAAATGTAGGAAACAAACACAGATTAACATCAGTTACAGTTCTTTTGCTGATGCTGAACACTCACAGAACTGATTTCTGTAATGTAACGTTGAAACAGGTTTCCATCAAAATAACTTTACAAGCCTCCTTTTAAATTCTTCAAAAATGAAGTATTTTGATCATATTCTGTCCCAGTAAATTTTGATGAGGATCTGGATGGTGTTTTTTTAAACTGCGAGACAGAGCATTGGTATTGGTGGAGGGCAGCACTCTGAGTTCTGTCATTCAGACAGGAAACCTACAAAACAGTTTACCTGTGACCTGTTTCTTTTGCAGCTCAGAAGAGTAACCATTTCAAGACACGGTCAATCGGAGTAAGTGCCAAAATATAAATACATATAAATATAATATAGATTCTCTTTTTTATGAGTCAAGACTCAAAACATGAGATTGTCAAACAGTTAAACAATCAATGAACATGTCAATAAAAAAACTGAAAAAATGGGGCTCTTTCCAGTGCAGCGTTGTGTGAGGTTGCACCAACATTCACAGAAAGCTGTCTGTGCTGGTTAAAGCGACAACAAAACAACTAAATGATCATCATTCACTCACACAAATGTGGCCACTTGAAATTTTAACTTGCACACTCTCAAAAAAAGGTAGCATATTTGGTCATTGATCATTCGTCACCATTTTGGTCGCAGACTGGATCCCTGTACCTACCCCGGGGTTGGTACTTTTTTCTCCCCCAAAAATGGCCCTGATAGAGGTTCTACAGGGACAGTATCAAGTCAGAAAATATTCAAAGGTTTAGGCAGCTCCAAAATGACCTGCAAGTTCCTGCAGGGGAAAACAGCCTTATTTTTGGCTTTTTGTAGTTGTTTACATCAAAACACATTTTTGATTTGCAACTTGTGAAGACTGAAACACATTTAAATTCATTGTAAAAATACATTCTGTATATCACACTAGTAAAAATAGGTGCTATGAGCAGTCAAATGATTTGCTGTCAGATGTCAGCAGGCTCGTTTCTTCCAGTCTATGTTCTGAACTGTTCACAGTTTCGTCCTTCTGTGATTGAAGTGTTTCTGTGTGTTGTGTCATGTGTCGCTTCATGTTCGACACCTGTGTGAAGCGTTTACCACACACTGAGCAGTGAAAGGGTTTCTCTCTGGACTCCCCAGTGTGCTGCACCATGTGCCTCTTCAGGTTTCCTCCCTGAGTAAACCTGATGCCACAGACGGAGCAGCTGAAGGGTTTCTCACCTGAGTGAGTCCTCAGGTGTTTCTTCAGAGCTCCACTTGCTATAAAACCTTTACTGCAGATGGAGCAGCTGAACGGTTTCTCTCCGCTATGAATCCTCATGTGTGCTTTCAGATTGTGTTTATGATTGAACCTGTTACCACACTCAGCACAGCGAAACGGTTTCTCACCTGGCGCTAGCTCTGAGTTCTCCTCAGTCTGGCTGTCATCTAGCTCTGACTGCTCACTGCCACACTTGTGTCGCCTGAAGCCTGACAGCCAAGTGAACTTCTTGTCACAGACGCTGCAGCTGAATTGTTTCTCACCCGTGTGGACGGCCATGTGCTGAGTCATGTGAACCTTCTGAGTGAAACCTTTCCCACAGAATGGGCAGCTGAATGGACGCTCGCCTGTGTGGAGCCTTTCATGGGTCTTCAGGTTGACCATGCGGCCAAATCGTTTCCCGCACTGAGAGCAACTGAAGGGTTTCTCTCCAGTGTGACTAGTCATGTGACCCAGCAGCGACCGCTTACACCCAAATGTTTTACCACAATCAGAGCAGCTGAATGGTCTCTCTCCAGTGTGGATTCTGGCATGAGTCTGCAGATGCTCCTTTCGGCCGAATATCTTGCCACATTCAGAGCAGCTAAACGACCTCCTGCCTGGAGTACATCCTTCATTACCTGCAGGGACACTCCCAAACTGTCTGGTTCCCTTCCAGTCTGAAGTCCTGTCTTCAGTTTGTAGTTCAGGTTCTGGTCCTCCCACAGGGTTTCTGCGTGGAAGCTGTGAGGACTGAGGTTTCTCTTCATCCTCTTCACTCTTCACAGGGACAGGACTGAACATGATCTCAGCCTCCCTCTGGCCTCCAAACATCTCTCCCTCCTGATTTGCTTGGGGTTCATGCATTTGAGACGACTCCCCACCACACAAGTGTCGTTTGAGTTGGTAAAGCCACGTGAACCTCTTGTCACAGATGCTACAGTTGAAGCGGTTCTCCTTTGCGTGGACGGACATGTGCTGCGTCAGGTGTCCTCCATGTTTGAAGCTCTTCTTGCAAACAGAACAGCTGAATGGTCTCTCTCCAGTGTGGATCCTCATGTGTATGTTCAGGTTGTGCTTGCGACTGAATTTTTTGCCACACTCAGAGCAACTGAAGACTTTCTCTGCATCATTGTCATCCTCAGCTTGGGTCTGAGGAAGCCGGGACAACTCGCATTCACACTGATGGCTCTTCAGCTGAGTGTACCAAGTGAATCTCTCGTTGCAGAAGCGGCAGCTGAAGCGTTTCTCGCCGGTGTGGACGGACATGTGATACGTTAAGTTCACCTTCTGAGCGAAGCTCTTCCCACAGAAGGAGCAGCTGAATGGTCTCTCTCCAGTGTGAGTCCTCATGTGTATCTTTAAGTGTGGACTGCGGCCGAATACTTTACCACATTCAGAGCAGCTGTATGTTTTCTTGCCAGTGTAACATCTCACATTTTTCACAGGCACTTCAATGATTCTCAGGGAGTTTAAAACAGCCTGAGGTTCTCTGCAGTCCTGCCTATCACCACCAGAGACCTCCATCTTATATCCTGAAAACTCAGAAGTCTCAGGACATGGTTCTAAATGTCTGTCTGGGGTTAAGTTCCAAACTGGTTCTGACTGAGTGCTCCACAGTTCCTCCTGCTCCTCTTTGATATGTCGCGGCTCTGGGTTCTCCTCATTCTCTGGGTGCCCTTGGTCCAGACTCCAGCTCCTTCCCTGCTCTTCTTTCCTCAGCAGCAGCTGTTGGACATCTTCAGGACACAGAAACACGAGTCAGAGTGGAAAATTCAGTTTGTTTCATATTACCGATTATTTAATTCCTCATCTGATGTCAGAACTTGCGGAGTTCTCACTTAGACCAGGATAGGGGATCACATCAGTCCAGGTCTTGTGTCTGTACAATGACTGGCTGTTTGTAGAAGAACTGATTTTAAATTCTACAGGTGGTTAATAAAATATTTTACTTCTGATCTGCTCCTCTGGGATGATTTAAACATTTTTAAGGGATTGAAACTTTCAAATATCACCAAAAATCTCAGTTAGAACCTGTAGAAAATCCCCTGAACCTCCTTTAGCATAACACCGAACAAGTGGTAGCAGATCTAAGAAGAATCCTATAAACATATTGGTTTATTTGGATATTGATTTTTGCTCCTCTGTGTTGTTACTACCTAAGTTTTTACCATCTTCAGTCTTCACAGGGACAGGATTGAAGGTGAACTTAGTGATACCAGCTTTCTCACTGCTCCACAGCTGCTCCTGCTCCTCTTTAATGTGGAATTGCTCCTCCTGGTCCAGACTGGAGCTTCTCTTTTCACATTTGTCTTCCCGCTGCTGGACATCTGCAGAGGACAAACAAAAACAGGAGAGTTGACTAAATAAAAATCCTTTCCTTCCTTAAAAAGCTTCACTGAGAGCTAGAACATTTTTCATTAAAATTATACCACCTAAAGGACCTGTAGAAAATCAGCAATTATCACAACCACTATCCAAAGGACCCTAAAACACCTTCAACAACTGCAAAGACAACCAAAATGACAAAACTAAAACCATCCAATATACAGATAGAACTTCCAAAGTACCTCTTGAATCTCTTCATTGAACACTAGAACCTCTGAAAGGAAAAAAGAATCATCAAAAAGATCCCCCTTTACTACGGGATAAAGGACTACTGAAACACTTCAAGGGATACACAACAATCCCTTCAAGGACCACACTGACCACAGTCTGTTTCAGTAAAACGAGAACCACATAAATGACCCACAGAACCCCAGCAATTCTTACAAGCAGCATCTAAAGACCCTAAAGCATCTTTAGAAAAATTCTAAGAGTTCATAAATGGCTGGTAGAACCTAATAAAAACCAGTCAATAAGTGAAAAGATCCCCTTAAAGCCCCCTTAGATCTCTTCAGTGATTAAAACTTAAAAACAACAATAATAGTAATAATTATTATTTACCCAGACTGAAATATATTGTACTTTATTTATATGCTATAACATTATGATGAATAATAATAACAAACAAATGTGGAGTTTGCATGTTCTCCCCGTGCAGCGTGGGTTCTCTCCGGGTTCTCCGGCTTCCTCCCACACAGTCCAAAAACATGTTGAGGTTAATTGGTGATTCTAAATTGTCCGTAGGTGTGAATGTGAGTGTGCTTGGTTGTCTGTCTCTAAGTGTGGCCCTGTGATAGACTGGCGACCTGTCCAGGGTGTCCCCTGCCTTCACCCTAAGTCAGCTGGGATAGACTCCAGCCCCCCGTGACCCTAGTGACGATTAAGCGGTGTATAGATAATGGATGGATGGAATGATGACTATGATTTTAAATATCATCATTGTTGTTGTTGTTATATTACTGCCACCATAAATATTGTTGTTATAATAACAATTCTTCTTATAATTATAGTTGTGATCATAATTCATAAAAATAAGAATAACAAGGACAATGAACATGTTGTCGCTGTTTTGGTGCTGCATTGATCCGAACTGATCAATTATTTAAATTAACTGATTGCTCCACCTGTCTGAGAAAACTTCTGTTACCATGGTGACGCACCGGGGTCAGAGGTCAGCTAGCTTTATGACAACAGGAAACGGTTAAAAGGTAGCGGCTAACATGCTAAGCTAATAAACCCAGCTGCAAGCAGCGTCAGGTTCGGCGGACACGAACAGGGTCAGCTCACAGCTATACCCGAACCGGATGTTTATGTCCGAACACTGACGATCAGCTCATCGATCCCCGCAAACCGGCTCCGAGCAGAACTGGCCAACAGCAGCAGCTTGCAACTCCCCGCAGCTCTCACCTGCCCTCCGCTGCCCCGGTTCGCGCTTTAAGTCCACATGCAGCGGTTCTCGATGTCGGTCCATCTCGGATCTGCACAGAGAACCGGACTGTGACAGAGTCGTTTCGTTATTCGGACCCAGCCCCAGGTTGGTCTTTTAACAGCGAGCACCGTCAGACCCGCGCAAATACACACCGCCGCTTCTGGGAAGTCGGTTCAAAATAAGACATGAACCAGAACCGCAGCAGAGTCCAGAACTCATCTCCACGTGAGGAGTGAACTGTTTACAGCTTGCTTAACCATCTGATATTGAAAAACACAACAAAAATATTTGTTTACGGTTTATGAACATTTTACAGATACTGATGCACACTCTCAGTCCTGATCCTGACCTTCTAGGCTCTAAGCTTCATTTAAAGTCAAAACTTGAATTTTACTGAGGGGATCAATCAATCAATCAATCAATCAATCAATCAATCAAAGCAACACTTAATATGGTGGGTTTTTCATCCTAGGATTTAATTTGGTCAGGCAAATTTGTTTACACAAACAAAAGAGATAAAATAAGAATTCGAAATGTTAAAAAACAAACACTAAACATAACAAATAATATAAAAACAGTAAGATTTAAGATCAAGGTGAAGCATTTTCTTCTTTTGTAATGAGCATGAATATAAAGTGAAAATACTAATGGAAAGTAAAATAGGTTTTACTTAGCTTTCCCCCCACGGTTATTATTAATTTATATTCTTCTTTAAATAACTTTATCATTATGAGTTTTATTTTGAAACTCATTCCTGCAGTGTCGGCCTACATTTTAATGGACTTTACAGATTGTTTAACGCACAGCTGCGTCCAGAATCGACAGGAACCGGCAAGACGGAGCCCGGTTGTGTTTACGGACCAGAGGAGGACCGACACCGGGAGGAAGTAGCTGGAATGGACGCTCGAGGAGAAGGTTGGTTCACCTCCTGCTGCAGGAAACAGGCTAACTGCGAGACTAGCAATGCTAAGCTAACGTTCGCAGTGTGTGCTAACTCACAACAAGAGTCCTCCATTAATTTAATATTCATGATGTAACGATGTTAATTTAACGAGAGAATGGAGTGAATGAACAGCAGTGTGATAGCAAAAGCACAAGTGATTAAATTGCTTTTGAACTGTACATTTGTTCGGCTGTTTTAGTGAACTTTTCTGCTCGTTATCAGAAATTAAAACTATGGATGCTGCAGCTGAGTGACTTTGCTGCTCATAAAGCTGTAAAATAGTGTTGGACATTTTAATTCTGCCTGAAACCTTCTGTTGCATTCCTCGAGCCTTTATTTTTATGTGTAAATAAAAAATAAATTTAAAAAAAGATATATTTTTGCCCCTTGACATTCAGACCAGGTCCAGATCTCATTCCATTGTACTGAGTGGAGCTGCTGCCATAAGTGTTAGAGACTGATGCTAAAAATGTGTCGACATTAATTATCAATATTTTTAACAAGCTTTTTTTTTTTAGCACATTTTTCTTCTACATAACTGTTGCGTCCACAGTGTCAGTAGTTTTTGGCTCCAGTCATTACTCAGCTGCAGTCAGCGTTACAGTTCGCCTCTTGTTCTCCACATTTGCGTGCCTGCAAGGTTACACATGCCATAAATTTCATCATCCACTAAAGTCCTCAAAGGTTTATGTGCAGCCAAAATTTGCTAGCGTGTGGATTTACCACATGGAAACCAAAAGCTGTTCAAAACAAATGCGTATCATAAAAGAAAGATAGTCACAGTGGTCCACACACTCACACACACAATAATTTATCATTCAAACAGTTGGAAATGAAGTGATTGCTGCTTGGCTTTGGAGGAGCTTTGATTTGTACAGCTCTTTCCATCATCGGAGCCCAACACAGTGGTAAGTCCCAAATTCTCCAGATATCTTGTGCTATGTCCGTCCACTGTGCTTGACACAACCCAGAAATAATCACATTGACCAATCTGTAACCAGCTTTGTATCCCAGTGTATTTTTCTGTGTTTGATATGAGGGGCAATGCTACTGTCTGCGCAGACCGTCACATTTGTTATCTTAGAATTTTGAAAAGCACTCATTGACATTTTTTTTTTTTTTTTTACAATTCTCTAACATTTTATAGACCAAACAAATGATCAATTATTCCATACAATATGTGATAGACTCATCAAGACTCAAAATAATTATTAGCCGCAGCTGATTTAATGACAGCTGACAATGAATTGATTCAGAAAAATAGTTGTTGCAGCTCTGTGCGTCTGTATAAAAATATGTCTGGTTTCAGTGACTATATTAAGGTCTGTGTTTCAGGTTTACCTTCAGATGTCCAAAAAGTGATTGTTGGTGAAGAAAAACTGCAGGAGAAGAGCTCTGGTGCAAACCAGAAATACCATGAAAACCAGGGGAACCAGGACAATCAGAAGGACCTGAACATTAAAGAGGAGTTGTGGAGCAGTCAGGCAGGAAAGCAGCTTCAAGGCCTAAAGACAGAAATCACCAAGTGTGCCTTCAGTCCTATCTCTGTAAAGACTGAGGATGATGAAGAGAAACCTCAGCTCCATCACAGAGACTCAGTGGGAGAACCAGAACCACATCTAGAACCAGATAATAGGACGGCAGAGTCTTCAGAGACGGACGTCAGTGATGGTGACTGGGAGGAAACCAGTAGATCAATTTTAAATTTGGTTAATAATGTGCCCACAGATGAAATATGTGATGATGATGATGAAAAACCATTCGGCTGCTCTGAGTGTGGGAAAAAATTTAGTCACAGTGGGAATCTGAAACAACACCTGAGGACGCATACAGGTGAGAAACCCTTCAGTTGTTTACAGTGTGGTAAGACATTCAGCCGTAACACAAACCTCAAAGCTCATCTGAGAATCCACAGTGGAGAGAAAAGGTTTAGCTGCAGCGTCTGTCACAAAAGATTCACGTGGAATCATCACTTGAAAACTCACCGGTGTGTTGGCAAATCAGCAAACTGTGATGGATCAAGACCTGAAGGGAACTCACCTGAAAGAACAGGTGATAAAGACGAGAAACCGCTCAACTGCTCCGAGTGTGGAAGGCGATTTGTACACAACAAAGATCTGAGCAGACACCTGAAGTCTCACACTGGTGAGAAACCCTTCAGCTGCTCCGAGTGTGGCCGAGGTTTCAATGACAAGTCAACTCTGTCAAACCACCTGAGGACTCACACAGGGGAGAAACCCTTTGGCTGTTCGGTTTGTGGTACAAATTTCACACACCGTGTGAGTCTGAAACAACACTTGAGGACTCACACTGGAGAGAAACCCTTCAACTGCTCTGAATGCGGCAAAACCTTTAGCCGTAACACAAACCTGAAGGCTCACCTGAGGATCCACAGCGGAGAGAAAAGGTTCATCTGCAGATTCTGTGAAAGAAAATTCACTCGGAAACATCACATGATCGACCATGAGCGCATCTGTACATCGGCGAGCAGTAGAAGAACCAAACGGGACAGGAACCGAACACTGATGCCCCGCCCTCACAGCCATGGACTGGTGGTGCTCATCAAGGGCGTAGATTTGGTCTCAGCAGTTGTAGGAACACAACAACCCATCACTTATCTCCCACATCCATTGCAAAATGAGGTGACTTTAGCTTAAATTGCCAAAAATGAAACATTTTTCAGTCAGAAATGGTAAAAACATAAATAATTTTAGAACTTTCAGTCAGTCCCTGTGCAACTGATTTGTCCATAGTAGTTAGACTGTGGATTTTTTTGAACCCCTGTACAAATCTGCATATTTGCACTTCCTTGTAACTTGTATGTTTAACATCTTTGTGTGCTAAAATCAGCTCAACCCACACCCTGGACCTCATTTTAGCATTTCAAAACTTACATTACACATATTTAGATTTTTTTCTTCAAACGTCTTTGTTACAATTTTTACATTTTATTTCTGTTCTTTTTTGTTTATTTCAGCAAAGCGTGCCCAACATGAACATATTGTGAGAGCATGTGAGAAATAAAACCAAGGAATCGTTCAGTTTAAATCTTGAATTATAAGAGTGAAGAAAACAGAGAGCTTTGTGACAGTTTTTCTTTTATTTCTATTAGAATCCAGAGAAAGCTAAGGCTACAAAATCAAGGGTTTTTGCTGAGTAGCACTTTGCTTTCTTACCTAATGTTTCCATTTGTACACTTACAGTTCTTCTTGTCATTTGTATTTATGTGGCTTCAAATTAAGAAGTTCTGTTGTCGCAAATGCTGCAGTATTGTTTATGCGATCACAAAAATGCAGTTTTTCTCATACCAGGTGTAACTAAAGTTCATGTTGTCAGGTCATATGAGTGTAGATGAACTAAAATGTGACAAAAACAATCTTCAGATTCTGAAGACAAGTTATTCTAACAATGAACTCATCCAAAATGGTAGTTGAACTCTGAAGTGCATCTCATGAGAAACTTGTGACCGAGCTGCACCAGCGTTTAATAAATTGCTAAACAGTGACATCCTCTGGTCCAAAAGTAAAACTACATGTTTATGGGAGCGGGGATGAAACCAGCAGCAGGACAGCAGTTTTTAAAAAAATGTCTTAGAGAATAAAAATAAATGAATAAATAAAAATGATCAGACAGACATTATGACTTTTAATGTTGTTTATTTACCTGTGAATATCATTGATAGTAATAGAAAAATCAACAGACAGGAAATCAATTTAATGATAAAAAGAATCTGTTACAAAAGCAGTCGGACAAAAAGAACCATAATTGCTATAGTTTCTATTCTTTTTAAAGCTGCCCAGCTCAAATTTAAACCTCCTCGTTGAGCTGGTAAAGCAGCTGAAAAGTCTATCAAAACTAAATGTTTAATTTCAATCATAATCTATAACCTTTGTCCATTTTAATTAACTTTAAAAAAACGCAATAAAACACACATGACAGAAAGCGAAGAGGATCTGGTATCAATGTATGACAGCGTGTGGCTATTAAATTGACTCTGAATCATTCAGTGGTACTAACATTTCCAGGGATAGTGGTTCTACTCTGTGTATAAAGGAGTGTCAAACACTATCAAACTCCTTCTCGAACAGCAGAAACATCAACTGGAAAGATGTTGATTCCTGTTGCTCCACATTTGCATTTTTTGCATATGTGATTAAAATAGCCCCTGGTGTATAACCTGTATCTGTGGGTGAACAGTGAAAATAATGAAGCGGACAGAGAAGAACACGCCCTTGTGAGAACCAGTGCAGACGACTGTGTGTCACAACAAGACTAGACAAGCCTTGTTCAGCCGGGTGGCGAGGTCTGTGGGAAACAATACCAGAACCGTTTGACCCTTCACCTTTTGGAACTTTTTTAGGACCTGATAAAACTTATACCCAATACCAAAATGTTTTAAATGAATGCCAATTTTGCAATAGTCAGCATTTTCCAGGGATAGTGTCACATAAAGTGTGTATAGAAATGCCTTCTCTCCTTGGATGTTTGCATCATGTACACAGCTACAACCTTCTGCATGCTGCCTGTTCGCAAAGCAAGCTCCTAAATTCAGTACAGATTTGTTTTTTTGCAGACAACTGCATCAGATCATGTATTTGTACAATTAGATATTCAATGCAAAAAAAAAAAAACTGTAATGATTTAGCAGCTGGGATTCCAAAAAGAACTCTAAAATAAAGAGAAATAACCTAATAAAAATACAGTAATGTGCCAAATTAAAGTGCATTTTGTAGCCTTACTTTTACGTGGGATCATGTGTTTTTTTGACATTTTTATTTTTGAAAGATAGTTACATGAAATTAATCATATGATGTAATAGATAGATACAGTTGTGAACAAATGTATACACATACTTGAAGTCTGTAATTACAAAATGTTTGTGTAATTCCTTTTTTTTCTTTGTTTTTTTTTTGGTGGAATGATGGAAACAAACGAAAAAAAATCATGAATTTGTTGGGTTTTTTTTCAAAATTAATTATAGGGCTTATGGAAATATGACAACATCTGCTGGGTCAAAAATATGCATACAGCAACTTGAATGATCAGTTTTGGTGATACAGACACTTGTGTTAATCAAATTTCCTTAGTGGCATAACCTCTTACTTTGTTGTGGGTGATTGCAACTGACTACAGCAACAACAGCAAGGACAGACCACTCTGGATCCGGATCCGGATCCGCATCTGTGACCCAAAGGTAATCAGCTCTTTCTGAGATTTTTTGTACATTAACTCTGTGCTCTCATGTGAAGGTTTGTGTCTCATCCACTCATGTTTGTGTCAGATGGTCAGTTTGACCCTGATGCCTTCGAGGGCACAGGAAACTTTATTTTGAAAATCTGCACAAGTGTTTCCATAAACTGTCTTGTTCGTGGATGAAGGTTTATCTAACAGCTAGACAAAATCCAGAGAGACTGATCCCCACCTTTTTTTTGTTTTTGTTTTTTAACCTTCTCCTACTAGGAATATGAAAGCCAAACATATTTATAAAATCAGATTGTGACTTTGCATTGTTTTTTTGTTGTTTTTTTTTTGTCTGGTGGAAGCACAAGCTTAGTACGTACACAAACTCTTAAAGACAACTATCCATCCATTATCTATACACCGCTTCCGCTACCTACTGCGCCACCCTGCAGCCCTAAAGACAACTACTTCCTGGGAATTCAGTTGATCACAGAAATTTCCACAACAACTTTGAAAAGGAGGACAAGGTGCTAAATGTGAACCAGTTTCAGCATGTACATCATGTTGTTTGAGAACTTGAGTGACAAATGAAATTATTTTTTACTTATGTTGCCTTTAATGGTGTCAATAAGTTTAGTTCTGGTTACAAGGTTGCACTGGACTAAAGGTTCACTATAAGAAACTTACATATGCCAGATTATTTTGACCTCCCTGACAGTAAGTTTGTTGTGACTTAAGCCTCTCAAATCTCTTCTTGGTCCAACAAAACACATATTTTATCTTACTTTCATTTAAAAATTTAAAAAAAAAATGGAAGATAGAATCAAGCAAAAGATGAGTTACTAAAAGTATTACATTACATTATTTAACAGATCCATTGTGGACTCCTCATACTTTGTAACTCAAACTGTTTTTTTAGCAGGACGCACCCAGGGAAGGTAAAATGACACAAAGACGCATGTGCTTAACAAAAAAAATATCTTGCATGCTTTGTCCCACTTGATCTCATTTATTAGGAGCGATGATTGACTGAGCAGCGTGTTGTTATGTAGCAACTGCTTCACACCACCCACGATGGGTGTGTTTTGGTGAAAGAATATCTTGGGAATAATGTGAGATGGGATGGAAAGAAGCCAAAGAGCTGGGAGCTGATGTAAGTCCCGCTGGACGCCACACACAACCATTTGTTTTTCAAACTTAATTGACCATGTGAATGGGCAGGGAGAAATTACAGATGCCTCGAAATGCAATAAAGAAAATCAGTACATCTTGAATTCACTCCTGCAGACCAGGTTTTCAAGCTTAGGCCTACTCTTTTTGTTCATCTCTGGAAATCCCACGATTTTGCTTTGGATCTTGGTTGTGGTGTAAAGGAAGGTGTGCACCTGACTATCCTGGTTTGTTTGGTGATGTTCCTTCATGGACAGATTGAGAAGAAAATGACATTGATGTAGAGGATCAAACCAGCAGCATTTGTCACATTTCTGGGACCCTTGTTTTTCATGACAGTGCTATCTGCTAAACTGGATAACTAAGAGTGTAACAGGTAGCCGTAGAAGAAAGGACTGAGTTCAAGATAGATCATAATTATAGCCACAGTACTGAATGCTAGTCATGTTGTATTTGTTTGCTGTTAAAAAACAATTGTATTTTCTCCAGTTGGACAGCAAATTCATTGCCATGACTTGGCAAAGAGGACTGTGTCTTGCTTCTCTCCATCCATCCATTATCGAAACACCACTTAATCTTCACTAGGGTCGCGGGGGGGCTGGAGCCTATCCCAGTTGACTTATTGCGAAGGCAGCGGACACCCTAGACAGGTCGCCAGTCTATCGCAGGGCTACACTTAGTGACAGACAATCATGCACACTCACATTCACACTTACAGACAATTTAGAATCACCTCAACATGTTTTTGGACTTGTGGGAGGAAACCAGAGAACCCAGAGAGAACCCACGCTGCAGGGGGAGAACATTTAAACTCCACACAGAAAGACCCTGGGGGTCCTCACCGGGACGCAAACCGGCGACCTTCTTGATGCAAGGCAACAGTGCTAACCACCGAGCCACCTTACAGCCCTGCATCTCTCCAAACTTTCAAATATCTGCTTGAGATCTCATGATTACAAAGATCATTCCATGTGATTGCATCATTATTCTACCTTACATTGATGTAACTCGCAACCTTTAGAAACCAACTTCAATTGCAGGACAGAAAGCGGTATTTTGAGTGGGTTCTGCAACTGTTGTCCTGAAACTACAGCCTTCTGTATTTCAGACACAAAGTATTGGATTTAATTTAGTAGTTTTGTTCATGCCATCTGAGAAGCCCAAATATCTGGATGCTGGAACTGATTATTCTCCAAAACAACAATGTGGTACCTTCATCATCTAAGACAAGATCAGACACCAAGAAGTCTTTATTTGATTGAATTAATAAATGCTCGTTTGTTGGCTGGGTTAAGCCAAACTTTTGGAAATTCCAGGACTGAGATGAACTCTTCATCTTCAGTTATCACTCTCCTCATCCTTCTTCATCTTCCTCTTCATCCAGTTCACATTTGTTCTCATTTCACCCTCACTTAACTGCTCTTTGTACATCCAGTTCAGGGCTCATAATTGATTGAAATGGCAAATCTATTGTTTAATTAGCAAATATTTAAGTTTAAATTAAATACACAGATTTTAAAAACACACTGACAATTAAAAAAAAACTGTCCATAAGAGGATTGGATCACAAAGATAAAATTATATTTATTATAACATGTCCTCAGTCAAACTCCACATAAAATTATCTATTAAGGAAACTTGTCTGGGCAAAAACACAACAAGCCTCTGACACACAAATACCAGAAAGGCAAGATACACATGTTCCCGTAAATCTCTGTAAGGCTGCAGAGCGGCACAAATCTGTTTTTTTTTTTTTTTTTTTTACCGTAAACTGGAGTCAAAGTAAAAGTCAAGGAGAATAAAGCAAGACCGGAACGTGTACAAGTGCACCTTCAAAAATAAAAGTCCTGAAATGTTGACATTAGAGGCCTCATCACAGGGTGGTTGTTTTTGCCTGACACAGTTTTGTAGAAAGTACAGTGCATTGTTAGTACACTGGCCTCCATTGTAACGGCAATTTTTCCAATGTCCTGTGATTGCCTTTACTGCACAGGAGGAACAGAGTGAACCGACGCAGATCAACAAACAGAATCTTCAGTCCTTGTACTTGCCGTTAGTGGATGTTTATTCGACAATATGCATGCAATGAAAATACAGTGGTTTTCCTACTGTGAATCTGATATTGGTGCTAGTTTGATGTTGGTCTGCTGCTGATCTAGTGAGAACTGTGCTCTCACCCCACCTATGCCCGCCCCTTCCTGTCACCTGTGCCCTCTACATATACACCCTGTGTCCAATTACCGCCACCATGTATCCAAACAATAATAGTAATAATCCACATAAAATTACTTGCCGACAGACATAAATGGCTCCTACATCCATTGTGTGTTTGGTTTATGTGAAATAAATGTTGAGCATGCGTGATCGGTATTTTTAAAAAAAAACCCAAAACAAATGTCTATTTACTTTTACGAGACTGAATTTAAATCAGCACTATTTTTGCATACTTTTGTGGTAATTTAACATAATTTGTTGCCACTTGGAGTTTCTTTGTGGTGTATTTCTGATAGTTTCGGTTTTTTTTTTTCTCCCACTTGGAGTCACCTTATAGTGTTTTGCATGTTTTTTTTTTTTTTTTTAAATTTTTAATCTTTTGAGTCTGCTTGAGGTGTTTTTTGTGGTAGTTTTACATGTTTTGACTCTCTTTCTGGTGGTTTCGTAATCAGAGGTAGTTTTCCATCCTTTTGTAGTAGTTTTGCATGATTTTATTGCCACATAAAGTCATAATGTGGTGTCTTTGTGGTAGTTTTGCACGGTTTTGTTGCCACATAAAGTCATAATGTGATGTCTTTGTGGTAGTTTTGCATGGCTTTGTTGCTATTTGGAGTTACTTTGTGGTATTTTCCTGTTTTTTTTTTTCACTTGGAGTATCTGATATGTTTTTTTGTGGTATTTTGTTTTTCTTTCTGGTGGTTTTGTGATCAGAGGTATTTTTCATGCATTTGTAGTAGTTTTGCATGATACTGTTGCCGTGTGAAGTCTTTATGTGGTGTTTTTGTGGTAGCTGTGCATGCTTTGTGGCCCCTTTGAGTCTTTTTGTGGTGCTTTGTGGTAGATTTACATTTTTCTGTGGTAGTTTGCATGCTGTTGTAGTAATTTTTTTGTAAGTCTTTTGAGTCTATTTGAATATATTTTTTGTGTTTTAATATGGTAATGTGCGTATTTAACAGCTAATCACAGACAAATGCGCAATAATTACCTGCAGCAGAAGAATTCGTAGTAGGGCTTTTATTTTGTAACCCTTGAGCGGAATTTGCCCTACCTCCTGTGAGGCTCTTGACTGTGACTCTTTCTCAGACTGTTGATAAGCGCAGACGTGCAGAGGGAAAGCAGAGCAGCTGAAAGTTCGTCACTGACACTTTGTGGAAACTTTAGTTCTGTCAGGTGAAATGTCGAACACCGGGAGCTCCGCGGCCGGAGACGGCATGTACTCCAAGCTGATAGACGACGAGGCCGCATACGGAGAGCTGAACATCAGGCCAGATGTGGGACACAGTGGTAGGAGGGCATCAGCTGCAGCTCCAACACACAGTCTGGTTCACTTCAAACATCAACTTTCACACAGTTTGCTCAAATCGCAGTCATGTCACATCTGGGTCTTAATGGATTTTTAAAACTGTTTAAAATTATGATTGTTATTTGTTTATGTAGGTTATTTATCTTTTAATGCCTTTTTTTTCTGACACTTTAACAGAGTTTAGCCCAACATATGTAATCACATTTCTTTGTGCAACCAAAAACCCAAAGGTAGAAAAGTTATTTCATAATCGGAAGACAAAAACAACAAAACTCACAACTGAGAAGCTCCAATGTTTGCGAGAAACAGTCTCATTATTATAATAGTCGCAGGTTGTTTTTTTGTGGTAGTTGGTTTGAAAGTAGCATACACCATGTTTTTTTTGTCACTATTTGGTGTCTGTGTGTGGTTTTGTGGCATTTTTGTGTGCTATCAGTTTATTTGTGATGGTTTTGTGGTAGTTTTGCGTGTTTGTGGTAGTTTTGTCACTATCTGGTGTCTGTGTGGTGTTTTGCGGTGGCTTTGCAGTGGTTTTGCGTACTCTCGGTTTATTTGTGATGGTTTTGTGTTGGTTTTGCGTGTTTTGTGGTAGTTTCGCATATTTTGCGGCCCTTTTGAGTCTTTGTGATGCCTTTGTGGTAGTTTTGCATGTTTTTGTCACTCCTTGGAGTCTCTTAGAAGCTCTGTTCATCGAATCAAAAGCTTGTTCACTGCAACAATAATATTAATAATAATGAGAAAAATTCTGTCACATTTTTCAGAAAACAAAAAAAAGATCTTTGCGAGAGTTACAAACAAACACCACACAAACACAACACTGCAAAATATGGAAGAATTAAAGCCAGACATCAGCGTTTGATATTCATGTATAAAAGACTTTTAAAAGCAGCAGAGTCTCAGCGCCAGTGGAGACAGAAACCATGAAGTCACAGAGTTCAACATGCAACCAGTACAGCTGTATGTTGAACTCAAGGGGCCCCTGAGCACAGATGTTTGTAGCTCCTCTGAGTCTCTTTGTAATGGATTTGTGATTTGTGGTAGTTTTACATGTTCTTGTTGTAGTTTTGTGCCCCTATTGAGTGTTTTTGTGGTTCGTTTTGTGTGGTTTGTGGCAGTTTTGCAATTTTGGGAGTTTCTTTGTGTTGTTTTTGTGGTAGCTTTGCATGCTCTGGGTTCCTTTAGAGTCTCTTTTTTCTGGTTTTGTGGTTTTGTTTTGTTTTGTTATGTTTTTGTTGCCACTTGGTGCTATTTTGGGATATTTTTGTGGTAGATTTACATGTTCTGTGGTAGTTTTGCATGTTTTGACTTTCCTTGGTTGCTTTGGGGCAGTGTTTAGCTTTTCTTGTGGTCAGTTTGAGCGTCTGTGTGATACTTTTGCATGTTTTGTGACAAGTTTGGGCATATTTGTGTTAGTTTTGTAATCTTTTGGATCTCTTTGAATTTTGCTGTAACCAGTGTGCAATGTTTCTGTGCCCATGTTCAATCACTTCATGGTGGCTCTGCATGTTTTTGTGACAACTATGATTCTCTTTGAAGATGCTTTGCTTGTTTTTGTAGGTGATTTGGATTTCCTTAGAGTCATGTTGGGTTTCTTTGCAGTCAGCATTCAATGATTTTGTGCTTACTTTGTCGTCATATTGCATGTTTTTGTGGTGGTTTTGCAGGTTTTTGTGAGAGCTTCGAGTCTCTTTTACCCCTTTTCCAACAAACTGGTTCCAGTGCTGGTTCGGAGCCTGATTTAGCACCCGTTCTTTGTGTTTCCACCGCCAAAGCACCAGCTCCAGGCTCTCAAAACCGGTCCTTTTCAGGCACCAACTCTTTGATGGGCCAGAGAAAAGCACCGAGTACGTCAGGGGCAGGGGGCAAGGTTATTGTGACCACCGAGACCGATGAATGGGACACACGAGCGGTGATTTCTGGTCCGATGACAGATGTATTGGAGTGAATCCAGGGACACACGGAAATTTTGCATACACTGTTGCACACTGAAAGCCGGCACAATTGTGTCTAACCTGCAGCACCACAGTGTTGGACAACAGTACTTTTAGAACTTTCGTGTACTGCGGTATTTACGCGTAGAAATGCAATCTTCTCGTGAAAAACGGAGCGCACCTACGTGCACTGTTTATTCCACTCATAGAAAAGACCGCATGAGGAAAAAAAATCACTCGGTTTCATCTTGGACAAATCTGACATTAGAACGCCCTAGTTTACTCTTTTACTCACTTTGGTCACACACCGGTCTGAGCACCGCGGCCTGCAGTGAGGGGCGTTCGGAGACCATCATAAATTGTAGAGTCTATCAATAAAATGTTCAGAAAATCATATGTTTTTTTCTGTGACAAGGTGGGAAGTGCGAACAAATGAGAAGCTTGGTCGCACTGGTTGAAAAAAAACCCACAAAAAACAAAAAGCTCTTCCCTGTGGCAGAGTTTTGCCGGCCGATGGAAAAGCAACCGGTTCTTTTGAGGTGCCAGAATTGAATCAACTAAGCACCGGCACGGAACTGGCACCTGGTTCTTTTTGATGGAAAAGGAGTATTTGTGGCCTTTTGGTGCGTTTTCATGCCAGTTTTGGATGTTTTTTTTTGTCACAGTTTTCAGTCTCTTTGTCGTCATTCTGAATGGCTTTGCATGTTTTCTCACAGTAAATTCCCTCAATGCAGTTTGCTTGTTAGATAATTGTATAGCATTTCAGATTTCCCACGTCCCAGAACCAACTCAGACATGTTTGACATTTACAAGTCTGAACAGAGCCGATGAGATTCCTTTATGGATAAAGAGCTTCACCTTAAAAAAGTAATGTATTAGTGGGTGTGAATATCTTGTTTAGACAACTACAGTAAAGCAGCAAACAACCACTGTGTGTTTTTGTTTAGAACATTTCAGCAATGAAAGTATCCTTGAGCATTATCTGCCAGAAAATTAATGTTGAATCTTTTGCCTAACGTGTGCTTTTCTTGGGATGTTTTCTCGTATTCAAATGGCATAGGGTTTGGATTGTTGGGTTCTCTGTTTAAAATATGTAAGACGATCACCTTGCCATGTTCAGTGCTATGAGATAACATACAGTATGTTGTGAATTGGCGCTATACAAATTACATTAACCTGAACTGACTTGAAAATGGCATACACCTTTATTTCATGCGGTCTGTACTGAGGTGTCAATCTCTGATGATTTTAAGCCCATAAAGACACTTAAATGACACTTTTACACGTTTTTTGCACCACTATGTCAAAACAGACGAAAATGTCTCTTTGTCAATGACCGATCTTTCCCCCGCCGTCTCCTCCAGTTCACCCGGTGTCCTCAGCCAGAGCGATCCCCCGGCCTAGCGGCCCCGGGCCCTACCGCCTCGCCACCATCTGTCTGGCTACGCTGTGCGCCGTCCTGCTCATCTCCATCATCGCCGTCACCGCAAACAGTGAGTAGGCACCTGACCAACCGACTTTGGATCATGAAGGACACGCACGCTCGTCTGCAGACTTTTACAAGAAGCTGATCAAGAGCAACATACAGTGAGGGCTGGTCAATACGGGGTGCAGGGGGCATCACCCGACTACTAATGAGCAGATAAAAAGTAGTTCTCAAACACAATATTAAATTAGAATTAATTATAATAAAATAGTAATAAAATTAATAATAGTGTTCATATTGTTTTGCCATATTAACAATATTTGTGCTATTAACAGATTTAAAATGAGTCTCTTCCTAGACACCTGAGTGTTTATGTAGCTCGAAAAAAATTTTGTGATCATGTGACCTTGGCCTGGGCTCTGATTGGCAGCTGCAGATTTTCTCACTGGGCGCAGCACTTTTGCTGTAGTCCAATTAATTAGGATCTGAGCAACTAAAAGGGTGCGAAGAACCTACTGGAACTGCTCGTTTTTTAAAATTATATATGACAAAGAGACACATTTTTGAGGTCCTGAACATACTCGCACGCGCACAAAACTTTGCACACACATCAGACCCAGCGAAAAAACTTTACAATTAGGGGGAAATACACACTTCAATAGAAAAATGGCTCAACAGTGCCATCTAGAAAGTTATGAAAAAAGGGCCCCCGAACACACTTTAAGGTAGAGCCATGAAATTTGGCACACAAGTAACATGCCAAGACGCACAAAAAAGTCTCAAGAATACATACCTGAAACGCAACAGGAAGTCGGCCATTTTGAAAAAAATGGCAGATTTTGGCTGAAAATCGGCCATTTTTTGGCAATTTTCAAAATATATCTCCTCCTAGGGGGTAAGTTGTACACACCTGAAATTTGCTCAGCACAAACTAAAGGACATGGTGATTAAAAGTTATGAAAATGCTCCCCAAAAGCCTGACGGTGTGGAAATGGCAGCCCGTGCAATTTCGATCAATGGCCATTTTGCACATTTTTGTTGTGTTTCCGGCATTCAACGGAGTCCCGTCGGAAGGCCGTTTCACCTAGACCTACACATTTCGCTGGGCATATATAGCAGGACGGGACACACAAAAAAGTCAATCAACTCCAAGCCCTAAACCCAACAGGAAGTCCGCCATTTTGAAAAAAACACTTTCAGAATTTTGCAATTTTCAGATGATGACTGATTTTTGGCTTTTTTCGAAATCTATCTCCTCCTAGGGGAAATGTCGTACACACCTAAAATTTGGCCAGCACAAACTACAGGAAGTGGTGATTATAACTTATTAAAACGCTCCGCAAAAGTCTGATGGTGTCAAAATGGCGGTCTGTAGAATTTTGACAAAACATCATTTCACTTCACTTCCTGTTTCGCCACAAAACAGGAAGTGAAGTGTAAATAGCCTGCAAATGCTCAAAATTCACATGTTTCATCACAGCACGAGCCACATTACATACATATGCACACCAACGGTCTCAGTCGCACTGCCACAAGAAGCGAGGACCAGTCCAATGCTGCTTGTGGCTTTAATTTTGTCTTTATTTGCTTTTGGGTTTAGGACTTGGTGCTGATTGACCTGCTACACATGCCCAGCGAATCTTGTAGCTGTAGGTGAAACAAGTTTCCAACAAGAGTCAGTTGAATGCAAAAAACACAGTGAAAATGGCCAAAATGGCCATTGATCGAAATTCGACGGGCCGCCATTTCCAAACCAGACCTCATCTGCAGAGCATTTTGACAACCTTTAATCACCACCTCCTGTAGTTTGTGCTCACCAAATTTGAGGTGTGTACGACGAACCCCCCAGGAAGAGATAGATTTTGAAAATGGCCTAAAATTGGCCATTTTTCAGCGAAAATGGCCCGGCATGTTCATCGTTTTTCCAACATGGCGGATTTCCTGTTGGGTTTACAGAAACATGCTAATGGACTTTTTTGTGCGTCACAAAATGTTGCATATGTGTGGCAAAGTTCGTAGTTGTAGGTGAAACTTAGCCATGACGGGACTCCGTTGAAATATTGTAGGGGGCGCAGTTGAGCTGTGTTGCATTTTAGAGCTTGGTTCAATCTGACTTTTTTGTTCATGCCGACCAGCTCTATATGCCTATGAAATTGTGTAGCTCTAGGCCAAACATGCTTCTGACAGGACTCTGTTGAAATTTTCAAGGTGGCGCTGTGGAACAATTTTTCTATTGAGGTGTGTATTTTTTTTCCAAATTCTAAAATTTTTCATTGGGTCTGATGTGCGTGGCGATTTTGGTGAGTTTTCGAGTACGTTTAGGGCCTCAAAAATGCGTCTCTTTGTCATGAATAATAATAATAATCCGAGCAGTTCCAATAGGGTCTTCGCACCCTTTTGGTGCTCGGACCCTAATAATAATAATAATAATCCGAGCAGTTCCAATAGGGTCTTCGCACCCTTTTGGGTGCTCGGACCCTAATGATGCCAAAACCATCACAAAGAGACACAAACCACCACAAGGAGACACAAAAAAAAACTAAAATAGACACAAAACAACCATGAAGAGACACAAAACAACCACAAACGGATAGAAAAAACACAAAATGAACAAAAGACGACAAAACAGCTAAAAAGATGCCAAAAACATCACAGACACAAAACAACTAAAATAGACACAAATAACCACAAAGAGACACAAAACGATTTTAAAAAGAGACACAGAACAAGTAAAAAGAGATGCAAAAAGACCAAAAATAGACACAAAAATGACTACAAAGAGGTACAAAACAATTTAAAAGGAGATGCTAAAGGAGTTCCATAACGCACAAAACAACTAAAAACAAATGCAAAACAACCACAAAGTGAGCCAAAATGACTGAAAAAGAGACACAAAGAAACACAAAACAACCAAAAATAGGTGCAGAACAACCACAGAGAGACAGAAACTTTGGTCCTACATTCATTTGGATGCTACTTTGACACCTAAACATTGCTGCAGACCACGTTCACCTCTTCATGGCAGCCGTATTCCCTGATGGCCTTGTTCACCTTCTGTATCTATTAACTCACCAGTCCATCCTTTCATGTGCTCCTCAGATAAGAACAAAACTCAGGACAGCGGTGAAGCGACGTCAGAGGTGCAGAAGCAGACGCAGGACACGAACGTGACGGCTCTGATGGCCTCCATCAGAAAACTGCAGCAAGAGAAGAAACAGCTGCAGCAAGAAAAGGACGAGCTGCTGGTCAGACTGGCTGTCAGGAAGACCACCAAAGGTGTCCTCACATTGCTCACATCAAACTGATGATTCGAAGTTATTTTTGAAATTAACAAATATTTGTTCGTATCCTGGGAAATTCTTGTACATGTGATGATCAACCTGAATTGTCTCGTCTCACTTTAAGTAAAACTTACGTGTTTTGTTTGGAAAACATGTCCATATAGTGGAGTTATGTTTCAAATACATTCATATTATATATAATCCTTTTACACAAGTCTTTCAAAAGACAAAAAAATATACAGATACATTTCTAGTCAAGCCTGGTTTTAACCTTCTGAACTCCGTATTTTTTTGGAGCGTGTGCTTCTGTTGCATTTTTTCCTCACTGTGGGCTCATTTTTTACTGCAATTTAAAATCCTGCACCTCTATAGAAACGGCACAACCATGGCTAGAAGTAGGACTCCAACATGTCTTCTGTGCAGTATGACACAGTTATAGTGCCATAAATTATTTAAAAAATTAAAATGCTCAATTTCTTGCCCACAGGTCTTACCAATACTGTAAAAATGGTGACTCTCCATACTTAAAAAAAAAAAAATCTGTTTACATGTAATTTTACTTTTTTGGTTGTGCTGAGGAGTTTTCTTTCTTTTTCTTGTTCTTTTTAACAGAATCTGATCAAATCAAATGCTGTATTTTTAAAGAAATTTTAAATGACACATGTAAAATAAAGTGGTTTTGATTAAAATGTCATGATTGTAGGGCTGATGGAATGATAAACATCTGACAATCCCATTAGTTTTACAGTTTCTGCCTCATAAAGTGTAATTTTGTGGATTTTTTATTTATTCTTTTTTCTTTTTTTAAATATAACTTTCATTTCAAATCTGCCTGCAGGTTTTGGTGCCCAGAGGGTTAACATGTGTGCAGAACTTAATGTCAGTTTTTTGTTTTCTAAATTTGTTTTGCATCAATCTCTCTCTCTCTTTTTTTGTGTGTGTCTGTAATCAGCTCCAAATGTGATCAAACCGACACCACAGGCGACTCAGGCTCCCATCGTCTGCCCCTTTGACTGGCATCTCTTCAACAGCAGCTGTTACTTCATCTCCAGGAACACCAGGGACTGGCCGGAGAGCAAGTCGTTCTGTGAAAGCAAAGGAGCTCATCTGGCCATCATCCACACGGCCGAAGAGCAGGTGCAGTCCAACATAAGTTTATTTTCCTTAAGTCTGTTGCTAAGATAAGAGCCATCTGGCGCCAGATCTGGCTCAGAAAAAAATACAATAACATGAGAATAAACACACTGCAATAAGGTATAATATCCTTCTGAAAATTACAGCAAACTAATATAAGACAAGAATATAAAGAGGTAATACAGGCAATGATACTGAAGAAGTGAAGTAATACTGTAGGTTTAGCTTACTGATTTACTGACTGTGTAGACTAGAAGCTGCAACCCTTCATCTAACAGCTGATTGCAACTGTTATTCATGACTGATCCACTTACCAAACAGTGCAGAATATGTCCAGAACTGTTTTTGTGCTGCTGTTCCAGCGATAACTAGGACTGGAGGCATGATGTCCGTCCATTCTATTCTCTTCAATGACTGGAGGGAATTTCTTCAAATTTGTCACAGATGTCTGATTCCACTAGCTCACAACGAAAAATAATCTGAGGGCAGTTTACGCAGTAAGATGAGGACCTTACAGCAATATGTTACATAGAGAATAAAAACAACTATGCTTTAACAGGAAGAAACTTCTGGCAGAGTCAGGCTCAGCGAGGGCAGACGGTTGCCTCGACCTGTTCGGGTAAAGGACAGAGAAAACAGGATAGCAAATAGAGATCATCAAATCTAAAAAGTAGAGAGCGTGTCTGCCTCCTGAATCCAAACTGCAAACTGGTTCCACCGGAGAGGAGCCTGACAGCTGAAAGTTCTGCCTCACATTCTGCTTTTAGAACCACAAGTAAGCTTAAAAGACAGTTACAGCGGAGCTTAGTATAGAGCTTTGTGTACAAAGAGACTGATTTTAAATTCTATTCTGGATTTGACAGAGAACCAAAGAAGGGCTTTAACAAATATGATCTCTCACACTGGTTAATGTCAGACTCTGACTCCAGCATTTTGGTTCAGTTGGATGTTTTTTTTCAGGGAGATACTGGGACATCCTGATGATAAGGAATTACAGTAGTTGAGCCTAGAAGTTGTAGATGCCTGGACTAGTTTTTCTGCATCACTCTGAGCTTGGATGTTTCTGGTTTTGACAATATGGGGTCAAACTTTCATCGGGACTCAAGGATGAACTGAACAGATTTGGTGTTTAAAGGTCACTGTGGCCACATGAAACATATTTTTAGCCATATCTTAGAATGTCAGATGTTAATTATGACAAAATTTCACACAGCTGTGTAATAGGATTAAATGATGACCAGCATGAGTGGAAAGTTTTTAATTTGAAGCAGCGACAGTAGGAAAGGTTCAGTTTGCTTTAGCAGCAACTTAGCACTGCTGTTGAGTGTATTTGAGGGGGGTGAGGACTCATACTTGTTAGACAGATAAATTCACTCTTTGGTCATTTGTTGGCATTAAAGAAAACCATACCAATATTTTGTTGGCGCTTCCTGTACAGTGAAAGTGTTCAGACGTTAATCTCATGTCAGACTCTGATCTGACTCTACAAAGACACTGTCAGTGATTAATGTCTGTGTTGAATGTAAATACCTCCGTTGTGTTTGTTTCCTCTCAGACATTTCTGTGGAACCTTCTTCCCAGAGGACACTGGAACGCCTACTGGTTTGGGATCACTGACGGACACACGGAGGATGAGTGGAAATGGGTCGACGGCACACCGCTGGTCGGAGGGTAGGTTCACTTCTTTTCCACCTTTTTTATTTTTTGCAGGAGTTCGACACCAGTGAAACGTAATGCAATGTAACCCTCTGAACTCCAAGCTGTTTCTGGGCCTTTTTTGCTTCTGGTGCATTTTTCCTCACTGTGGGCTCATTTTTCACTGCAGTATAAAGTCCTACACCTCTATGGAAACAACACAACCATGACGAGGAGTAGAGAGAACTCTGAAAGGTCTTCTGTGCAGTATGACACTATTATATTACCATTAATCATAAAAAAGAAACCGTGAAAGTTAGATTTCTTTGAATATTTATTTTACAGTATAGAAGTATTAAAAAAAACTTAGATTTGGTTAATTTTTCCACCTGAACAGCACATCACAGATCAGTAGTTCAAGGACTGTTGGAAAGTGTTAAAATCAAGATATTTCATCAATATCATTTTATTCTACATGACTCACTTAAAATTTGCTTGGGAAAAAATGCTGGTCATGTTGATTCCGACTTTTTTTTTTTTTTTTTTGCAATTTATGTAAAATAAATATTCAAAGAACTTAAAAAAAAACCAAAAAAATCCTGGCACTACATCTTTATTAGATGTGCACAGAAGATATTTCTGAATTTACTCTGCTTCTAGTTATGGTTGTGCTATTTTCATAAATCTAAAGGATTTCATGTTGAAGTAAAAATGAAGTAGGAAAAATGTGACGCCCAGAAACTCCTTGGAGTTCAGACTGTCGATGTGAAGATCAGGTGTAAATAGATGTAAAAAATTTAATGGAAATTGAAACATTTTGAAGGACTCAGACTCTACAGGTGGAGAAATTCATTGTGGAGCTTTGATGCAGCAGCTTTAGTTTCTGCCCGGTTGCTCTTCTGGCTCCAGTCTGTCTGTGATACTCACATACTGGGACAGACACACACTCACACTGGCCCACTGTTGGACTTTTACCTTTGCTGAACACTGACCTGTTGCACACCTTCAGATTTTGGCACAGTGAAGCCGTTGGCCTGAGTTACTGCAAACAAAGATAAAGAGTTGGCGAGAAGGGAGAAGGTGCAGCCAGCACAGACAGAAGAGGAAGTAAATTAATAGTTTTAAGTGCAAACTTCATCTCAATACTTGCCGTTTGACTGGAAAACTCCAATAGAGAAATTTTTGGAAAGCAGGAAGTAGAAAAGGAACTGAAATTCCTGGATTGGCTGGAAAAGTTGACTTCTTTGCTTGTTTCTTCTCAATGTGGATGATACAGTTAGACACAGGAGGAGCAGAGAAACCTTTCCATTGTCAGATTAAAGAGGCTTGTGGGGCTGTGTTGATCGTTCCTGTAACACTACTAAACCAACAATTCATCTTTCAGACCCACCTCAGGCCCTGATTGGTAGTTATGAAAAGGTGCACACTAAAAACAAATCTGTAATTTTGTAGATTTTTTAATTTTTATCTTTTTTAATTTTACAGAAAACAGTGTATTTTATGCTGTGTAACATTCAACACCTGTAACTATGAGTAACCATAAAATATCCATATTTAAAAAAAAACAAACAAACATTTTTCGATTTAAGACGACTAATTTTGATGTAAATTTATGATGACTTCACAATGTTATTTTTATTTAAAAGATTAAACTCTTAAATTCAAGCTTAATGCTGTAAAAATAAGATACAGTCAGTGGTTTTTTAGTTGTGTGTTTTTTTTTTTTTTTACAGTGCAGGGTTTGAACTTTCTAACTAACTGAATGTCTTGAAGGAGACACAAGGAAAACGACAACTAAAACTAATGATAATTTTCATTGTGGATTAATTTGATCAGTTTCTCTGTTAATTGATTGTTTGTAAAAGTTCTTCAAATAGTGAGAAATGCAGTCACAAGTGCCCTTAACTATTATAGTTGTTTTCTGATTAATCAACTAATCAGTTCAGTTGTACTTATATAATCTGTTGTCTGGTTTAAATAACAACAGAATATTATTATTATTATATTCTAGAAGCTCCTCATATCGCTGTAAAGTAAGTGAAGCTGTCACATAAATGTAGTGAGTCAAATATTCCTCTCTGAGATGTTGTGGAATAGAAGTAAAAAGAAAAGACTCAACAAGTTGCTCAAATGTGTACTTCAGTTCAGTACTTGAGTAAATATACTTAGTTACATACCACCACTTTGAGTCCCTGAAAATTAGTTTAATTTCATTCTTGCTTTCCTCTGTTATATTCACTCTAAGTTTAATATTTGGAAATCTTTTGGGTTAAAAAAAAAGCAATTTAAAAGCCAGATCTTTGGAAGCTGCATAATGTATAATTTCACAAGTTCAACAGCAAAAAGATGAATTATTCTACTTCTGATTCAAAACTATCCACAGATTGACTTTTTATTGTTGATGTCCTCTGACAAAGAAAACCTCACTGAGAAGTAAACATACAAGATGTTCAGCAGAGAAGCAGTGACAGAGAGCATAAAGAGTTAATGTTCTAGATGTTACCTAATAGCCCAATAGCAGCTCTGAGCAGCGCTCTGTTGCTGCTTTGCTGCTGCTCTCTGACCTCTGATGGAAAACATGTGTCTGGACCAAACAGGGAACTGTGGAGAGATTGTTCTTCCTTTAAAATGCAGCGTCAGGTCGTCTTCATCATCGACATTGATAACATCTTGTCCTGCCTTTTGACATTTTCCTTCTCACTTCCGCTTCATGCCACAAGGTTACTGCAGTTCGTAATTTCCCATGATGGTTTTCTTTCCCATCTTATGCCAACTCGACAGATTTTCTAAAAACTGTCTGATTTCTCTTCCTCCTTTTGAAAATATGAGTTGATGACTATCTTTGTGTCATTCCTCTTTTGTCCCCTGAATCCTTCTCTTCCTCTTTTCCTGCTGTGATGTTTTTTGTTTTGTCCTCATGTGGTTCTGACTCGACTCTGCTCGGATGTTTCTGCATGATTTCTCCTTTACTGTGTTATTTAACCACTTTTTACACAGTCTGCAGCTTTTTAATTCCTTCTTTTTCAGTAGATGTTCATTTTGTTTTTTGCTTTTTTGCAGAGTTATTTGGTGTGTCAAGGGAGATTCAGTGGTTCTGTTTAAAACTAATACATCATTAACTCACTTCAAGCTGTGTTAGTTATTGGTTTGTTTCAGGATTGTTGATCTGATTCGTCCCAGTAACCTGGATGTACCTGATAACGTCCTGTCAGAAGAGACAGAAAAATTAAATATTTCTTTTTTTATGTTTCGATTTTCACATTTTTCATTACGTTCTAGTTGTTTTGAAGAAGTGGCTTAGTATATATCAAGAGCTCCAATTAATGTTCATTTTTTAAATAGTTTAAGCTTCTCAACCCAAAAATGCTTTAGTAGGTTTAAAAG